AACTCTGTCTTCTTAGGATTCACCGCCATTTTTGGAGGGGTGTAGCTCCTTAGGGGAGCCGAAGTCGCCCATGGTTCATATATCAAAGTACCCTTAAAATTCACTAAAGAATCACTCCTTGAAGTTTGTTGCAGTCATTCAGATACACCCTGTATAAAGCTTCTCTCGTTCCTTTCATTTCCCCTTCAAACTCGAAATATTTCCTTCCTGTGCCAGTTTTATTTGCATTATCTACAAATTTTTTATATTTTCGTTCTAATACTCGTCACCTGTTTTCACAATTATTTGACGAAACGTTCAATTTATGAAACTGGTTTAGCTCACCAGCAATTATTTCCATTCCACCCACCTTTTTTTTATATTTTTTATATAAATCTATTAATAGTTTCGTGGAATTAACATTCCATATTTTATAATCATTTTGTGCGTCTTGAATTGTTAATTGAACAGTATTGGGTGTCATGTGTGCAAGGAACCTCTTGCAGGATTACGAAAGAGTTTTCTAAAAAAAACAAACAGCAAATTACCTAACAAAGTTCTTCAGTAATTATTTCAATTATTCAAATATCTTATTATTTACGAATTTTAACTAGATATTTTAAAAAATATAATATGATAATAGGTAAATAAGTTACTATAATTAACCCCGTATTAATACACAACTGACCCTCACTACTTGAAGTTAGGTTAGGTCAACAATTTTGCTTTTTATTTTTACTGTTCGAGCTGTGACAAAATATGGTACCAGTTAGCAATTAATTTTCACTTGCGCATGCGCGCTCAAGAAACCATTATTTTTTACAAACTAATATGTAATTCTTTGCTCAAACAAACCTGTAATTTGACATTACTGTAAAATCTGGATATAACGGATTGCAGTGTCCGTTATAGCTCAATAAAAATATACAACAATCTAGCGCTGAATAACAAATAAAACTAGACCAACACTAGGACTAGAACTAACGCTAAACCTAGAATTAAAAAGTTTCGGGTTTGGCGGTGCGTCTGAATAGAGAGCTAGAATCATTTGGGTTTAGCCGTCTTAAGAGACATGTGGCTAATCCCAAATGATTCTAGTTCTAGGTATAGTGTAAGTTCTACATAGTAGTGCTAGTGTAAAACTAGAATTAACACTAGAACTAGAAACATGCAGATTGAGCCGTGCGTCTCTTAAGATAGCTAAAGCCGAATGATTAGGTATAGTGTTTGTTTTAGTTTGCACTGTCACTAGAACTAACATTAGACCTAGAATTAGAAACATTTGGGTTTAGCCGCACGTCTTTCAAAACGGCTAAACCCGAACGATTCTAGTTCTAGGTATAGTGTTAGTTCTACATAGTAACAGTCCTAGTATAAGAATAAAAGTTCATAAGTTGAATCGATGTATAAATTTCTTTATTAAATAAGTGCTACATATGTTTCGAATGTAATGATTCTTCTTCTTTGGGACGACTAAAATTTAAGAAAAAACAACAGGAAATGACATATAAGTAAAAAATTAGGTTGTTTGATGGAATTGAACATTCAAAACCGTTTGTAGAACATTTAATTCTTAATAAAATCACAACGCGACAATCTTACGAAGAAAACAGGTATCACATCGAAGGTTAAAACACGATAGAATAAGAAAAGTGGAGTGCAATTGAGCATGTGCGGGGGTTACAGGTTTTTAAATTGATATTATTTATCGGGAAAATGTGTGAAAAGGCAGTTGTTTTTATTTTTACAGGAAATTCAAAAAATGTCTATTGTTATTGGTATCAACGAAATCGTTCATGTTCTTTTTGTTATTAATGTTAATGTGTAACTCATAAAGGTCCATCTCTCTCGATTTTTTAAGGTTCTTCGGCAGTTTTATGTTTTCTGCAGGAATGTTATGTGACGTTTCTTTTTTATGTTTAAAGACAGCTGAGTTTTCTTTAGAGGAGTGTTCTTTGAAACGGGTTAAGATGTTCCTACCGGTTTGCCCTATGTATATTTTTGGGCAGTCTGAACAGTTTATTTGATATATACCGCTGAGTTCTTCATGTTTAGGTTTTTGTTTGTTATTCATGAGCAGTTTACTAATCTTAAAACCAGAGGAGAAAGCTGTAGTAATGTTAAATTTTAGTAGGTTTCTTTTTAGTTTTTGCTCAAGTAGTGGATGGAAAGGGATACCTATATGTTTAGTCTTTGTCTTAAAGTGTGGGAATATAATGTTATTAATCCTGGATATGTGGACTCTATTATATATACTTTGCATCTCCTTTACGTTGAATCCGTTATTTATACCGATTTTGACTATATTCCTGATCTCCGTCTTTATTTTGTCTGTGTTAAGTGGGATGTTGTAGATACGGTTAAAAAGAAAACGGAAATTTGCTTGTTTATGTTGGTTACAGTTGTAGGAGTTTTTAGGGATAACTGTATCTGTGAAAGTTTGTTTCCTAAAAATGTCGAATTCAAGGAGGCTGGTAATAGGGTTTCTTATGATCTTAAGGTCGAGAAAATTAAGTGTGCATTGGTTTTCCGTTTCCATTGTAAAGTTCAGGTTGGAGATGTTGTCGAAGATGTTGTGAAGCGCCCTGAGGATAGCTTTGTTGCCATTATAGATTATAAAAATGTCATCAACATAACGAGCGTAAAATTTTATGTATTGTGTAAAAGGTTTGTATTTTTCTGAGAAAAGTTCGTCTTCGAAATTGTTAACATATATATCTGACAAGATTCCAGATAAGGGTGATCCCATAGGGAGTCCGTCGTTCATTTTATAAAATTGGCCATTAAATAGGAAGAAGTTTTGTCTGCAGGTGAGGTCTAGTACGCTTAGAAAGCTATCAATTTCAATGATATCGAGTTCGTCTTTATTATTTAAGACGAGTTGTTCCTTAATGATATCAATTGTTGGTTTTATTGGGACGTTGGAATATAAGTTCGTGATATCAAAGGAGATCAGTTTGCAATTTTTTTCCAGTTTAAATTCTGATAGTCTTTGTATCAATTCGGTAGAGTTTTTTATAGTGTGTTTAAAACTTTTTTGAAATTGATTGTGCAGGTAGATCTGTATAATTTTAGCCAATCTGTTGGTAGGAGAGTTGATGTTACCTATTATGAGTCTTATACTTTTTTTTTTTTTTATTTTTTTTTCTAGTATAAAACTAGAACTAACACTAGACCTAGAACTAGAAAGTAAAGAATATTTTTAGTTCTAGGTCTAGTGTTAGTTCTAGTTTTAATTATTATGCAGCGCTAGACCAAGAACTAGAATCATTTGTACTGTGACAGTACAAGTGGAAAACTATCGCTAACACTATACCTATAATTAGAATCATTCGGGTTTAGCCGTCTTTAGAGACGTGCGGCTAAACCCAAGTGATTCTAGGTATAGTATTAGTTCTACATAGTACTAGTGCTAGTGTAAAACTAGAACTAGAAACTCCTCCTCTGCAAAACTACGCAAGACCTGTACTAATAAGTTATGTTGAATTTTATGTGGGACAGTACAGGGTGGTTCAAATTCGATGTCTGAATAGGCTATGTCGGAAACTATAAGAGTTAGAAAAAAAGTAGCTTACATGTCATGATCTCGTTTTTCGAGAAACTGCTAATGCCGAAAACCTCATAGCGCTATCGTCTTTTGTTTTTCCGCTAGAGGCTAAAATTGAAAATATCGTAAAACCAGCAAACGCAATTACCTTGGTTATTATTATAGCTGGAGTATTATAACTAAGACATTATATGGACACTTTTTTACAGAGAATTTTATGATGTAGACAAAAAAATTTTTTCGGTTTTAGATTTTGAGATATCATGACAATTTTCATTTTTTTAAATGGAAACAACCACTGATTATTCGCTTATTAAATTCTTTATTTTTTTCTAATTACAAAAATATAGGGTTCGAAAGGTCTATTTCTTATTGTTTTAGAATAAAGCCAAAAATAAACTTTTTTGTAAAATTTCCATCTAGTGTCATCGACGAAATTAAATTTACAGATTCCTGTAAATTACGGTACTATAACTAAAAATTATTCTACTAAAAATTTATATAAAATTTACTTTATTTTCTAATATGTAACATTCTAATATGTTAAACTTTTCGTAATTTTCGTAATCCATCTTAAAAAACAGGATTTTTAAAGTGACACTTCAGAAAATTTTTGAATACAAATGTTGCTGTTTATTTGAATTAAAAAAAAACATATGGCGCCATCTATCAATAATTTATTAAGTCATTTAAGAATAATATTAAATATTAATAAAAAATGTGAAATAATGCAATCTATTTCAACTTTTGCATAATTACATATATAAATTAAATAGTTCAACAAATATATTTGTTTCAAATATCAGAAATATTTTTTTTTTTTCATTTTTAATTATAGTACCGTAATTTACAGGAAACTGTAAATTTAATTTTTTGGAAGACACTAAAAGAAAAGTAAATTTTTAGCTTTATTCTAAAACAATAAGAAATAGACCTTTCGAACCCTATATTTTTGTAATCAGAAAAAAATAACGAATTTAATAAGCGAATAATCAGTGGTTGTTTCCATTTAAAAAAACGAACATTGTGATAATATCTCAAAATCTAAAACCGAAAAAATTTTTTTGACTACGTCATCAAATTCTCTGTAAAAAAGTGTCCATATAATGTCTTAGTTATAATACTCCAGCTATAATAATAACCAAGATAATTGCGCTTGCTGGTTTTACGATATTTTCAATTTTAGCCTCTAGCGGAAAAACAAAAGACGATAGCGCTATGAGGTTTTCGGCATTAGCAGTTTCTCGAAAAACGAGATCATAACATGTAAGCTACTTTTTTTCTAACTCTTATAGTTTCCGAGTTAGCCTATTCGGACACCGAATTTGAACCACCCTGTACAAATGCATAATAGTTTCGTAACTACAGTAATATAGTTACATACATTGCGAGTTACAGTGAAATTCTCCTAACTCGAACTTCTATATCTCGAATTATCCTCTAAGTCGAATAAATTTCGTAAATTTCACTGTATATGAAATTCCCAGTATATTTTTTTAAATTAAATCTAATTAATTTTATTCATAAAAATTTTTCTTTTAGATACATTTTTATAACCGTAGCTATTCATTTTTTGGCTGGTTTTAAAGATAATGATCGTTTTTATACACCTTTACCCCTTTATCATACAGCAGGTGGTTGTATGTCAACTGGTCAAATGTTGATTTATGGAAGTACGTTGATTACGAGAAAGAAATTTTCCGCTTCCTCTTATTTTCCAGATTGTAAAAAATACAATGCAACGGTAACTGACTTAATTTACGACCGAAAAATGTAAAAAATTGTTAATATTTTTAGGTTGCTCAATATATCGGGGAAATGTGTCGTTACGTTCTAGCAACAACTCGTTCAGAATCCGATAAAGCCCATAAAGTTCGTTTAATATACGGTAATGGATTAAGACCGCAAATTTGGCCCGAATTCGTAACCCGTTTTAATATTCCTCGCGTCGCCGAATTTTACGGAGCAACAGAAGGAAATGCTAATATTGTTAATATTGATAATACAGTTGGTGCGATTGGATTTATATCACGAATTATCCCCAAAATCTATCCAATTTCGATTATCCGATGTGATCCAGCAACTGGGGAACCAATCCGAGACAAAAATGGGTTATGTATGCGTTGCAAACCTAACGAACCCGGCGTTTTTATTGGAAAAATCGTTCCATCAAATCCATCCCGTGCATTTTTGGGCTACGTCGATAAAGAGGCTTCCAAAAAGAAAGTGGTACATGATGTTTTTACTAAAGGTGATTCTGCATTTTTATCTGGCGATATTATTATGGCCGATAAATTCGGAAATTTATTCTTTATGGATCGTACGGGTGATACATTTAGATGGAAAGGTGAAAATGTTTCTACATCGGAAGTTGAAGCTGTTGTTAGCAATATCGTTGATTATAAAGATTGCGTTGTTTATGGTGTTGAGGTATTTATTTATATCATTAAAAAAAGTGGTTTGGTTAATTTTTTTGATATTGAGTAGATTATTGGGCAAGAGGGTCGAGCGGGAATGGCTGCTATTTTGGATCCAGAAAATACAATCAATTTGGAGAAAATGGTTACCGAATTACAAAAGAATTTACCAGCTTATGCTCGTCCAATTTTCGTGCGTGTCTTAAAAACTGTTGATATGACAGGTATATATTAAATTTAGGTTTTAATTTTGAAATCTAAATAATCTTTTTTTAGGTACTTATAAATTAAAGAAAAATGATTTACAAAAAGAAGGATTTGATCCAAATGTAATAACAGATCCGATGTATTATTACGAAGCGTCTGTGAACAAATTTATAGAATTAACGAACGAAAAATATGATGGAATAAATTCTGGTGCGATTAGAGTGTAGTTTTAAATTATTTTTAATTACCAATTTTTCTATATAGAAAAATCGTAATTGGTACTTAATTAAAATTGCGAATTTCTTAAGAAAGGTTTAAAAAAAAGTGAAAATTGGGAAAAGATAAAAAAATTTGACTGACTTTTTTACATAAACATTTTAAATTAATTAATTATTGGGTGATTTGTTCTGTTTTATTATTTAAATTAAAAATTAATGATTCTTTTTTTAATTATTATTATTAATAATTATTGAGTGAACACGTTTCGATCGTGTTAGGTTTTTCTGTGATTATTATTTATTTATGTACGGTTACTTCAAATTTGTTACAAAGAAATTTGAAATATCAATTGAGTGTACATAAGACAAATTAAAAAAAAATTCAATCAAAGTGTGAAATCATATACAATACCTAAAAACACTATTTTTGAGACAAATACTCCTTATAAAAGAAAAACGTTTTCCAATGATGTGTAAATTACACTTAAATGTTAAATAATCAAACTGCATTTATGTTAAGATTCTTTTTTATTATTATTGAAATAAATAAAGTTATTATTGTTTTTAATTACGCTTATTATTTTATTTAGGAAATTTAGTTGTAAAAAAGATATTATAAAACACAGCCAAACCAAATAATATCACAAAAATTATCACAAGAATATAAGTTAACGCCTTTCTTTCGCCTTCCGGGGTGAATTGCTTAAAAATAACAGTTCCTATTAACACACCAGATAACCCTCCAAAAAAATGAGAAGAATATGAAATGGTATGATTTAAATTGCCCGTTGAGTAATCAATAACAACCCTTAAAATATCGACCAAAATAAACGTTAAAAGAAATATTAATAAGAATTTTCTATGATATATTCGTTTCCAATTCTAAAATAAAAATTATGTACGGTGCATAATCTTAAAATCTCGGATTTTCTTACCATAATAATAGAAACTACATGAGCCATTAACAAAGCATAAACACCACCACTAGCTCCAGCCAACCAAGCAAAACCATCCATTACGGAACTTCCTAAAGCACCGGAAATCACTCCACAACAATAAACGAGAATAATCGGCCACCAAGTGTAATGCAATTCCAACGGAATACCCAAACTTAATTGAAAAAGAATATTCATTGAAAGATGCCATGAACTATGAAAACAGGAATACATACAAAAAAGTTAAAATCATAGTATTATAAAGTTCTTCACCCTGCGTGAACAAACATATAAGTAAGATACCGCCACATTTCAATTCTTCTTGATGGATTATAAATTAATTCGTTCGATATGATACCGTTCCGCCAATTAAGACCATGCGCAGCGTCAATTATGTATAAAACAATTTCTGTTAATGAAATTAAAATCATTGCTAAGGGTAATGGCCAAAAATGATATATTCTTTGAGGTGTTTCTGCCATATCTTCTACAGACATTTTGGCAGTTTGTAAAGATGGTATAAATTTAATATCATATTCTGATTCATAACTTTCTCCCCCTCCTAGAAATGCTGTAGGTTGTATTTGAAAAGCTACTCTTCTCAAAGGGAGAAGGTTACTTTGCTTTTCTATTTGAAAATCTTGCTTTTCTATTTGAAAATCAGTTGGTGGTGGTGGAGGAATAAGAAATGACATATAACTGCAAAAAATTAAATTAAGTAACGAACATTTTATGAAGATTGTCCACTTACATGTTTAAATACTTTTCAAATTTATTGCAATACTTTTCGTTCATAACAAGTTTTATAAAATCATTCTGATTTATTTCATCTTCACCTTTCGTTTCCGCCACATTCTTAAAAACGTTTTGGAGACGTTTTGGCAATAAATCATCTTCGACTTGTATAAAATCATGTAATTGTCTATAAGTAATAATTCCATACTCGTTAGGCGGGATCTAAAATGATTTAAGAAATATGGAAAATCAATATGATTTGGGTCATTTACCTTGTTGAATAATATTGATAAATAATCTTCAGTAAAGAAAATTGATGAATCTTTTTCAATTTTCATCCTCTAATAACATTTATGTAACAGTTTACAATTTATTAATGCAATTGAATATGGGGTACGACTTATTAGTTAACAATGAGTATTTTATCAATGATTATGATAAGAAATTTACGCATTCTTACAAAATTGTTATTTTAATACCGTTAATATAGACGACTCTTTTTACACGAAAGATAAAACGACTTATACACGTTTTTACAATATTTTTTATTTTGCTAACACATATTTTAAATACACATTTAAACAAATACATGCGAAACACGTTAACCTTAACACTAAAAATATTTATGTCTCAGCACCAAGTGCGATAAAATTTTTTTCAGATTATCAGCATTATAATGATACAACGTTGAATAATGTTTGAATTGAAATTGAGAGAAAAATGAGTACTCGATATTATATTTATGCTTTTTTTTTTTTAATAAACAACATTTAAATGTTAATAATTAAAAAATTTAGTTGGATAAAAGGTCTCATCATTCCAATGATGCCTTCGTCATCTTAATTCGATTGATACATATGTTAGTTCCTGTTTTCTAAATATTGTGACGCTATAACGACCGAGCATCATCGGTTTTCGCTACTTTTTTAATAAATAGTTCGTAAATTTTTTCATTAAATAAACACTTTTAATAAAAATTTGGAATAAAATTGACGAACATTTAAAAATTATTAAAATAGCATAAATCCGATAGGGCCTAGTAATGCAAAGGTCGGTATCAGCGTATTAATTACACCGGATTCGTTGCAATCAGCATTCCAACGAACCCGGATTTAATTGTCAAAATCGGGTCGTAAATTAAAAAAAATTTTGTCTGTTCAGTTTTGCTTGTTTCATTTATATTTTATCGTGGTGTTTCGGTCTTTTAAAAGTATGGGGCCTAATCTCTTTTAATATTATTTTCATTTTTTATTTCCCTCTTCATTTTTTCAATTTTTTTCTTCCCATGGTATTTTAGGTAACTCATTCTTTTCTTGCTTAACATCTCTATTTAACAATTATTTAAAAAATTTTTAAATGCGCTTACAATTAACGCGACTATCTTGTCAAAATACATAATTCCAGAACTCTATTGAGATTTTCTTAAGATATCTTATCTGTAGAAAACCTCAGCACCGGTTTTAGGGGAAAATGTACGAAAAGCGATAACTTCATCAGCAAAGTGACAATAAGTAATTAATCTTATGGCTATTGAAGAATATAATTATTTTATGGATAACATCTATAAAATATGTTAATTTTTTTTATATGTATTTTAAAGAATTCTATAAATCAGTTTTCGTTATCCATGTTCGTTAGCGTGAGTCGTCATCGATTTATCTGCTTCCAATCGGATTCTTCAGCGTATTTTTTTTCGGTTCATCCGATCTATTGTTGCTCAAGTTTTAATAACTAAGCAACATAACCTAAATAAACATAAAATTTTTTTAGATTAATCTTATCTGATTATTACCACTTCTTCATAAATTTATTCAACACAGCTAATAAGGAATAGCTAGGAATTTAATAAAAGTGATCAGATTAACACCATATTATATGGTTATTGTTGCATATTTAGGGACATTTAGTTTTAAGAGGTTAACGCGAAAATGGAGGATGGGAAGACTAAAAAACGATGTTAACCAGGTTGTATTTAATGTAATATGCAATAAATATTCTCACAAGTGAATAATAAAGTTTATATTAATAAAACTAGTGCAGTATTAATTAGTTATCATTGTTTTACCTTGATTTTAAACTTTTAAATTTGTAACCAAATCGACCTTGTTTCTGATTGGTTAAATTTTTGACAGCATTTTAAATTTGTAGGTTAAGTTATCAACATTCAAATAATTAATATCTTTTGTGTTTTAAACCGTATTTGCTGCAATTTAGTTGAGTGAAATTAGATGAACGACAGATATTGTTGATAAAATCTTCGAAACTGTTTTATAAATTATATCAAACTAATTAACATCGCTTTATTTTTAGGGGTTGCAAAATCAATAGCTTACCACATGATTAAAGAATTTAAGGATATGAGAAAGGTTATGAGTCCTGGGATTATTGGAGCTTAATAATTTTATCAAGATTTACAATATACTAACAAAGAAAGTTTGGGAACATAAATAAATATTAAAAAAAATTTGCAAGTCATCTACTGAGCTTGTTTCACATCGTTAAACTTAGTTCATGCACTCCTTCTAATTTAAAAACAACATATAAAGAGTATTAATCTAATAGAAAGTTTTAATTCTCACCATCAAAGTATCCAGATTTATATAGATCAGTAATATCATTTAACAACCCCCCTGGCTCAATGTAATGAATTCCAAAATTAAACTTTTCCAAATCGTAGATTTTTTCATCATCAATTTTCTTCTCAAAAATCATACCTTTTGTTGAATGAATTCCCAAATCGATAAAATTCTTTAAAAAGAAGCGTCATTAACAAAAAATCAATTAACTATTTCTAAATTTACACATTACCTTTGACATTTCTTGAGTTTTAACCATTTTTAAGATTAGAACGGCAAAAATAATCGTAATTCTTGTCATTTTCGACGACCCACCTAAATGAATCAAAAAAGGACGAATAAATATCCAATTTTAGAATGGAACCACCTGTTAAGCGCCCTAGAGATGATATCGATCGGTTTTCTTTCTTTTTTCTTAAACGTTCAGAATGAAATTTCCCAAAAAATGTTCTCTTCTTGTTTACAATTTCTTTTGGTAACTCCAAATAAAGAATGTTTAAGATTTTTGAATCATGCATGAAATGAGATGTTTAGAATTATGGGTTGTTTAAAGGAAAACTTTGTTAGTTTAATAAACTGGAACAACGTGTTGCTGCACAATCCACTTACCTGGGGTCGGGGGGTCGTCGAATAATAACAGTTCCCGGTCCCTCGGATAGTAATCAATGGGAACAGGGTACATACGCACGTCATAAATACGTCATAGAAATTGTACGTTGGGGCGCATGTGCCTTAATTCAAGAAAATATAATTTACTCAATGAAATATATATTCGTTTCAAGAATACATCTTTATGTATTTATATACAATTTTTCTTATTTACATATTAAAAATATTAGAAATTATTTGAAATTGACTCATTTCTAAATAGCACGAAATTTTAAAAACAGTGGAGCCATCTTATTACATATCTGGGAATTAAATTGAAATTTTTTTCTTATATTATTAAGTATAAACTTTTTAATTAAAACTCAACTAATAATATATCTACTAAGATTAATTTATATAATTCGTTAGTACATAATATTACTTTAAAAATTAACGAAACTAATCAAATTTGAATGAAGGTGTCGCCATCTATTACCGTCAACTATTTTCATTTAATTCATCAAATATGTATTTAACAATATCCTTTTTTAATAATATAAAATTTATCAAATATTATTTATAGATTAATAATAAAATTAATTTACATAAAAGTTTCAATATTAACAGTTCCGTTAAAAAAATAAAACTTTAAAATTTAGTGAATTCATCTAACTGAAGTTGGCTATCCTACTTCAGGCGTATAAACAGTAAATATAGTTCTTTTTTGATCAGCAACCTTCAAAGATGGTATGTCAGACTTTTTCATACAAAATTTCCAAAAAATCTGCCTCATCGCTCTTCAAAATCCTAAAATATATTCTTTATACCCTAGTATACACCCTTTACAATGACTAAAAATTGATATTTTGCATTAATTTTCCATATAAATACTTTTAATGAGATTATGAAAATTTATAGGTTATGTTCTGTTTTTTTGTAGTCGCTGGTAATACCAGAAAAATTCCAACACATTCTTCGTATTTTGGGTACGAACATTGATGGAAAACGCAAGGTTCAATTCGCTTTAACCGCTATCAAAGGTGTTGGCAGAAGATACGCGAACATTGTGTTGAAAAAGGCTGATGTTGATTTAGATAAACGTGCGGGAGAATGTTCCGAAGAGGAAGTAGAAAAGATTGTTACAATTATGTCGAATCCAAGACAATATAAGATTCCAGATTGGTTTTTGAACAGACAAAAGGATATTATTGATGGCAAATACAGTCAGGTAAATGTCATACAAGATCAAGATGATACTTTTGGGGCACTTTAAAACGGCAAAATAACGAATTTTTAATAGTTCTTTTTGCTGGTAGCTGGTGCAAGAATATTTTTGGTATATAAATTTTCTTTTTTGAAATACCATGTATGTGTTGTAGATGGATTTAATAAATAAATCTTGAAGCAAACATAATTTATGGGTCAAAAAACGAAAATTTATAGTTATTTACAATATACCACATTTAATATTTAAAAACAAAATGATTCATTTATGAAAATTATAATTTGGTTTTTATTTCTCTAGCTTACATCTTCAAATTTAGATTCAAAACTTCGTGAAGATTTGGAACGTATGAAGAAAATTCGTGCCCACAGGGGTATGCGTCATTATTGGGGTCTCCGTGTTCGTGGTCAACACACAAAGACAACTGGTAGACGTGGTCGCACTGTTGGTGTATCCAAGAAGAAGTAAATGATTTGTATTTATGTTATCTTAAAAAAATAAATCTATCAAGATTTTGAAAACGAATTGTATTTTTTTTTAATTTTTGGAATAAAGTAAAAACTATTTTACATAAAACTATTTATATTTTTCTTTTCGTTACACAAATAATATCTAACAAAAATAAAAAGCATATTAAACTAAGTATTAAAGAGAAACACCATTTATGTTAAAAATAAAACTGAAATTATAGCAAAAACCAAAAATTGGTCGGAATCAGAACTTTTTATTACATTAAAATTAAACACATATTATCACATTTACTGTTTCATAAAAAACACTAAAATGCAGCTATCTTAAACAGTTAATATATATTTAAAAAAGTAGGAATGACCATTTTCATTCAACCAAAACACCATTTTTTTTTTGGTATCATTTATTATATCATTGAATTTTATGAATTTATCAGTCTCCCAAAGCGTAAAGTTGAGTCCACTCCTGTGCTTTTAAAATAGCCTCTGTTTCATTATTTTTCCACATGCGAGCTACATCATTAGCTAAAGGATCATCCGGGTTAGGACTCCCTAATAATGCTTGAATAGACAACAAAACGGTACGAATCTGTAAAGCCGGACTCCACTGATCTTTTAATACATCCAAACAAATCCGTCCCAGTTTGTCTATGTTTGGATGATATATTTTTGTTAAAAATCTTACACTAGGCGGATACAAAGGGTATTGCTCAGGCAGAAATAATTCTAATTTAAAAAGACCCCCTTCGTATGGAGAACCGCTAGGTCCTGCCATCACTACGTGGAAATATCTGCAGTTGGTTTCATCAGGAATTGCACTTATACCAGGCGGTGGATCTCTCGATAAATTTTTAGTTTCTACTAATATCCTTCGCGAAATATTTGCCATTATCTATAGATATAAAGAATATAGATTCGATTCACAATTTTTTATTTGATTAATCAATACTAAACAACTTATTACCTATTCTTCCCTTATTTTAACGAAAATAACGGTACCGCTTAACGGAAATGTATGAATCGTACGAATATTACAGTTTATGATGACAGTTTGAGGTTAAGTTTCCTTATAATTTTTTTTAAGGTTAGATTATAATAATTTTGAGTTTTGTAGATAATAAATAGATATTTAATTAAATTGATAAGTTTTGACCTTAATAAATAATTGAAATCGTTCAATACATTTATTGATTTTTTTTTTTAATTTATTTTTTATCTAAATAAATAAAAATAGATATTTAATTAAAAAATGTTTAATTCAAGTTTAATTATTATCACATACTTTATAATGTTAAATGTATTATATAGTAAATTGATAAATAGGATTTATTAAATTAAAATGTCCTGCAAATTACCAAAAAAAAATGTATTTAAAAAAATTTCAAAATTTTATTTGAAATGTCCTATTCTGCCATCTGTGGTCATTCTACTAAACTTATTATTAAGTTGTAAATTATTATATCAATTATTATCAATTTATTATTTATATCAACATTATAATTAATAAATCACATATATAAAATCACTTTTACATCGCTAAATCAATTAATTTTATTGTTATTTGATTACAATAACATTTAAAAGTTGCGACATCTATGATTTTTTAACCAAATCGTTATAGGTTACCTTTCTCTTTCCCTCCTGACATCGATAAATATAAAACAGATCATTCGTTCTCTCTTTAATGTGATGATTGTTCGACTTATCTCTGTCCCAATTGTCAGAATTGTCAAGTTGACGCATAAGTTAGAAGTGTTTGTCTTTTGTAACTTTTTTATATATGTAATAAATGCGTTACTAACAAATATAGTCAAAATTAGACAATAACGTAGTAAAAATGGTTAAAATCTATGCTTTAAGCATTCTATACAAAGAGCCGAACGCAGCTAAACATCTCAAATCAGCTTTCGAGTTACAATGTTTCGGATACTTTCAACGGGGTTCCATACAAGAATTTATGGCGTTTTTTAGTAAAACGATTGTTGAAAGAACGCAAATCGCATCACGCCAATCGGTTAAAGAAAGCGGTACGTTTAGATTAGAAGTAGGTTATGTTAGAATTCATTTGAAATTCTTTTTAAGAGTATATGTGTCACGTTTATGTGCGTGGTGATAGTTTAGCTGGAGTAGTGATTTGCGACCAAGAATACAATTCCAGAGTGGCCCATACACTTATAACGAAAGTTTTGGATGAGTTTACGCAAAAATATCCATCAACAACTTGGAATTCTTTAACGGAGCGTGATACAAACTTTCCTGAATTAAACGTTTCATTAGCTAAATATCAAAATCCGAGAGAAGCGGACGCTATTACTAAAATACAAGAGGATTTAGATGAAACTAAAATTATTTTGGTGAGAAATAATAATTATTTACCAACATATATTTTTTAATTTATTTTGTTGTTTTAGCATAATACTATTGGTGCTGTTCTTGAACGTGGAGAAAAATTGGACGATTTAATACAAAAATCTGAAGGTTTAAGTACACAGTCGAAAGCTTTTTATAAAACTGCAAAAAAAGCAAATAGTTGTTGTAGTTTTACTTAAAAAAATGAATTATTTAAAAAGGTATAAGGCAAACAAATATTGTAGTAAATGTTCAATACTGTGAAATGTTATATAATATGAATACCTAAGCTCTTTTTATATGTGTCTATTTATTGTATGCATATATCCACGATATATTACAAAAAAAAAGTAATAAACTTTATTTCTATTGTTTAATAATTATGAGATTCTTTTGTTATAATTTTTTATTAAGAATTAAACAATATTTGGCCTCAAATGTTAAATGTGTATGTAAATTGGTGTATAAAAATGTGCCTATATAATGTTAATAACGTCGATGGAATGTTTAAATAATACCTTAATTTTAATATGGTTGTTAACATTCCTTTTAAACAATTTTATTTTTATTTATTTTATTATTTTTGGAAATAAATACAAAAATCAACAATCAAGTTTTGTTTTATTTAATCAAATCAACAATAAAAACGAGTTTTTTCAATTATAAATTCAAATAAATTTGTAATGTAATCAAAACATTTATTTTACAGTTAAAGCAATCACGATAATAATCGATACAATTATTAAAAACGGCAACCAAGTCTTCAAAAATCCCCCAAATCCAACATATTTCCCATAAATTAAACACATAATACATAATTTAACCATATTCCAACTCATAGAGTTATCATAACGCATTAAATTTAATGCTGTAGCAACATGAGAATGACAATTATCACAACACAAATTGTGCATTCGTCCTTTATATATATCAGAAGCTTCTAAAACTGCTTCATCCCAACCTGATGGACCACCCCTTGCTTTCGATGGAGTTAATTGCCAGTATTTTGTTGGTCGACCAAAAGCCATATTGTCTTCCGATACATGGTATGGTCCGGCAAAATCTCGAATGACACCCGATGACATGCATACTCCCATGTGACCGATCATGGGGAAGAGCCAGGTAAGAATAGGAATTGGTGTCCATACTATGCAATAGGGGTATCTGTCTTTATTAAAATCCATGACTGGGGCTAAATCCGGATCGGAAATCATTTATAAACGTATTAACGATATTTTTCTTGATACATTTAAAATTTTATTGAAACACTTTTAGGTTATTTTTTATTGATTTACCAGTTGTCAAATAGTTTGACATTGAAAATTATAGATGGTGTTGTACATCTTTTAAATCTTAATTTCCTTTTAAATTTTAAAAGTTATTTAATATCATCGTCATAAAAGTCCGGTAGCGCATGTGGGTGATCTGTTATATTTTGATTCGTTTTTCGTTTCTTGTTATAACACATTCGTATCTCACTAATTTGTTCACTGGTCAAACCAAACCGTGGAAAATGTATGTTTGGATAGATTTTTTTACGAAAATGTTCTTTTAACGACTGCCACGTACGATCACTTATGTGCGATTCCATTTCTTGCCAAAAAACAGCACCTTTTAATCGCGCACATCCTTGATGATCAATTATAAAATCAACTATTTGTTTTTCTTCGTAAGGCATGTACGGCTTTCCCATTCCAACCATTATTGAACAAAAGTTATGTATTTTTTAACGTAGGTATTATTTAACACAATTCACAGGCGCACAAAAATCAGTTTTGGCGCGGGATCTCCACTGACACATTTCTGTGTTTTAGGTTAGGTTGCTGATATCTGGATTATTAATGTATTATTTGAGATTTAATCACTTTTACGTGCAGTAGTTCAATTTAATTGTAGGAAATCAGTTTTTCTTAGAAACAAATAGCTATCCTAGACTAGTGGTAGCTAACAACAAATTTTACCTCCGAAAACGAAAAACCTACCAGAACTTAACTTTTGATTTGTAGAAAATTTGATTTTTGTTTTATTATTTAATAGATGGCGGTGTACTATTAATTTTAGTAAAATTTTAGTTATTTAATATTTCAGCTTAAATTTGTTAATTGTTAATAGATGGCGCCACTCTATATTGATTTGATAGAAACTTTAGAATGAGTTCAAAATGATTTTATTTTCTTATTAAGATGTTGTTCAAACGCAAATAAAGATTAAAGTGCACGTTCTATTTTGGTCACAAAGACCTTGGCAATGGTCTTGAACAGTTTAATTTTAAAATCGCAAACATTCCTTTGAAAATTGACCAAATGATAACATTTTTATGCTTTAAACAACCAAAGCAAAAAGGACACTCAATTGCATTAAAATTGAAAATAAATTAGATAAAATTATAAAAAAATAAATAAATTAGATGTTTTAGTATGCATAACAAGTCATATAATAAAAAGATTAAAAAATGTTTAATATCGACGACGGTCGAGGTTATCATATGCAGGCAAACTTGGTCAAAACTTCTTGCGAATAAGACGCTTGATAGAACCAGATGGGGAACAAGTTTTTTTTTGTGTTATCCAAAATAAAAATATAAAAAAAAGAATATGAGAGCAAAGGTAAGTTACAAAATATCGAACATTTGTAAGAATGCACGCTGTGTGCACTGATATTATGAATTCTGTTGGTGGTTGTGTTGAAAAATTAAAGCTTTCAGGCATGGGGTCTAATTTAAATGAAAATTCTATTGATGAAAATTCACCATCACTTATATATTCGGTAAGAACATCGAAATATTAATTTGTTTCATATTTATGACAAATATTTAATTTCCAGATAGGAATAATAACAGATAGTCCAGAAAATCCCGAAAATGTAACCCATTTCAGCGTAACAACCGCCTTGACTTACTGCAAAACAAAAATTTTAAAACCTTATTTAAGATTTTTGTGCATCACCGGTTTAAGATCATTCGTCGCTGATTCTTCCGATCGTTTCACATTGAAAGGATGTTGTTGTCACCTTTACATAATCGCTTTATTAATTTTAATCATTTTGGGTTATTTACTCCAATACACAGCGTGTTTTCGACGGGATCGTGGTTTTTGTTATCTTATTATTCAATCAGAAACAGGAACTAATCTGTTATCCGATGAAGAACGTTTTAAAACTGTTTGCGAAGAATCTATCATTTTTAGTTATGGAATACCTCATATTTTACATTTTTTTGGTTATGCACACGCTTTCCATGTTTTTAGATCATCGAATGATGACCAACTTCCAAGTTTAATGGAATCTGTAAGAAATTATTTTATTTATAATTTAAATTTCTTGAAGTAATTTTTTTTAATTAGGTGTTTTTAACATTAACAAATTTAAGTAATGGATTTCAAAGTCAAAAGAAATTGGTTCGAATGTTATGGATTTTTGTTGCTATAAATATTTTATGGATGATTTCTTCTTTATCCGCCGTTATGGTTATGATGTTGGATGGAACTATTGAGTTTAAATGGATCAATTATAAGTATTTAATAAACGATTTTTATTAATTTTATAAATTTCATTAATTTTTTTAGCGACACCAATATTGTTTTAATTTTAAAATTGTTATTAGTGCTTTCAACGTTATGTCACGATGTCGTTCAAGCGACTGTTATATCAAATTATTGTCTTCAAGCGCAATTATTAACGAATTACGTGCGATTTCTTAAAGAGAAATTGCTTCAACATTCGGTTTTAGCGATGGAATGGATGCGAGATATGGAAGAATTTAAAAAACTTTTACATTTTTTAAATGCCAAATTATCTCCGTCCGTTTGTATTTTTACACTTTTAAACGTATCCAGGAGCATAACAGGAACTTTATGGTTGTTTAATTTAGATAATGTCGATAGAACAAATTCCCACACTTTCTGGATTTGTCTCATTAACATCTTACTTTGGGTCGTTTTAGCTTTATCGCCTTTTATTCAAGTAATATTTGAAACATAAATTTTTTTTTAATTTAATTTTCCGGTTTTAGGCTGCAAGATTAACCAATTCTTGTTATGAAATAAGGGGTGTTGGTCATGAATTACGAGCAAGACCATATCCGGTTCATTCTTTACATAATGATAACTCAAGGCAATTAGATACATTAATGTTATATTCTTCTACATTAAAATATAAAGCTACCTTATTTGGATTAAGCATTAAACTTTGTTACATTTATTTTTTGCTAACGGCTACTTCATTGTTGATACTTGCATTAGGTCAATTGCATTATCTTAAATAATTTATTTTTGATTTTATGTTTTTAATATTAAAAGAAATAAAGCATCAATATCCTACTCATCTCTTTATTTATCCCTCAAAAAAATGTATTTATAATAGTATCTCTTGTAACGATTAATCACAAGCTTTCTACATTTACACATTTTTTAAATTAACAAAACATCTTCATCTATACATAGCATAGCTCTAATTACAAGATATAGATGAAATGTAGCATTCTATTTCAAAAATTAAATTATTATTATAATAATTTTGTTTATTATGTCTTCAAAATAATCGTTTTTGGGGGCATCATATTGACTTTGATTAACGACGTCTCTGCTCGAGGAGTTGCTTCAAACTGAAGGAGGACACTCCGAAGCCAATCGCAGCGATAAACAAAGCAGTAGGATAAAGTAATCTGTTATCGTAGATTATTGGGGGGTTGCTTGGAATTTTCTGTTAAAAAAAATAATCTTTAAATATCTTATCTTTTACTTAAAATAAATTAAAATTTAAAACGTTACATAACCTAACCTTAAAAAATTAGATTTAGCTTCGAATTAAAAACATTATGTAAAAGTACTTACTTGTGGTACAGTTAACCGTACGGCCAAATTTAATGTTGAAAACACTTTCATCCTACGTCGTGATGCCCTAATCAATAAATAAATTCGTTTATGACAATCCTTTTCATCTAACCTCAAAAAATCGATTCACTCCTAGTTTTATTTTTTTTTAATAAATAACAATTAAATGGTACGTTTTAACTGTTTATTTCTTTACGTATTTTTTAGTTTGTTTAATAAAATATAAACAAACCATTAAATAACTCAAAAAATCGAGTTAAATAACATTTTCGACCTAACCTCAATTACGATCTGTCAAAGTTTGCACGAGTTCTGGCACTTTCGAGAGACTTTGGTCCTTTTAAATGAAACACTGACGTTTTAATCTGATTTAAATTTTATTAGAGCAGAGTGAGGAGTAGTAAAAGATAACACGGGTCAATTAACGAACGCAAATTCGTTGTGAAATCAATAGAAATGCGCCGCCGTTGCAACACTCACCTGGTAAACCAACGGCGCCGAACGGTGTTGTTCAAAAGAAAGGATGAATGCAAGGAGTTGCTGAACTAAAAACGGCTACAACAACCAAGCCAATTGCGGCGACCCCGGCTGTTATACCACGTTATACGCGAATGAAAATTTTTGAAAGCCAAGGTCTAAGTTTACCGAGACAAAAATAACCTTCGAAAAAATCTTGTTTTAAACTCGAAACGTAAAAAGCGAAAATAAATTTGTATTTTCTTTTATTACGCTTTGTTTTTTTTAATAAATTGTTTATTAACCTTTCCACATGCAATTTTTGAATCACCGCCAGGTTATTTACAGGTGCTTTTAGATGATTGAGGTCAAGAGGTTATCCCCGGATCTGGTCAACTTGAATTTGTACATGCAAGACTAGACTGTAAACTGTAAACAATTTGATAACCCACATTACATGTATTGAACTTCACAGTGAAGATCGTGGAAAAATTCTTTAAAAAAAATTGTTATAAAACAGTAAAATACGTTTCAAATTGAGTGTATGTATAAAATGGATTTTTCTTAAATCCAATAGACGCAAAGTTACGTAATTATTTAATAGGATCTTTACCATGTATTATTGCGAAATTCTCTTTTTTTAAATAATCTCCAGTAATTTCCAAGCGCGTGTAAATATTTACAGAGTTCATTAATAAACGATTATATTTTATTTTAGTTATAATCATGTTTTGATTATCATTACTGGAAAAATACTACTCATTTTTTTTCCATAAATACTCCACCTAATATGCTCTAAAAAATCTTTATTAATCAAAATTCTTTTTTACAATATAACTATTCACTCTTCTTTTCTCATTTTTCTTCCATTTATCCTTCCTGATTGCTTCATAAACAGGCGTTGTGGTAATATCTTTTCGTTTTGGAGCAGAATTTTTCAATTTCTTCACTTCCTTCTTGTTCTGTTTCTTCAAGCTTAACATAAACTCAGGTACTTCTTGGCCGGATTGCTTAATAACATGCGCGATACTTCTCAAATTAACGGTATCTTCGTTTGTAAAAAAGGTTATTGCTTTACCCTTTCTTCCAGCCCTTCCCGCCCGACCAATTCGATGAATATAAGCTATTGTTGATGGTGGAAAATCGTAATTAATAACTAAATTAACACCTTTAAAATCAACACCTCTCGCCATTAATTCAGTACAAATCAACACCCAAATTTTGCCCTCTCTAAAACATCTAATTGTGTTATCACGTTGTTGTTGAGTTCTATCAGAATGAATTGCATCAACGTTGATGCCATCGTAAATGAGTTCGTTAAAAAGTTGTTGAGCTCGTTCTTTTGATTGAACAAATATTAACACGGGAGGATTAACACCAGTTCTTATTAAATTGCGCAAAGCTATTAATTTACCATCTTCGTTACCAACAAAAAGTAATTCTTGGTTAACATCTGAAGTTGCAGAGTTTCTTAATCCCACGGTAACTCGAATAAGTCCTTTTAAATTTTTAACAGAATATTTTGCAACAGTTGGGGTATAAGTTGCACTAAACATGGCTACTTTTTTATTAGGGTTTGTACAAGACGATACAATTTGATTAAGTTGTTCGCGAAAACTTCTTATACCATCTTCGAATAATTTATCAGCTTCATCAACAATTAACCACTCAATATTAGCTAAATTAATACCAGCAGGCTCTTGTTTTAATAAAAAGCAAATTCGGTTTGGTGTTGTTATTAAAATATCATATTTCCCACTACTTTTCGGACCATATTGAGTCAAGGCTTGTTTTATCTTACTTATAACATGAACACGTAAGTTTCTACCTTCAGAAAGTCTTATGCATTCTTTTTGAGTTTGTTTAGCTAATTCTCTCGTTGGGCAAATAATTAAAGCTCGAAAACCTTTCCGCTTTGGTTTCTTTAACAAATGTATTATAGGTAACAAAAACGCAGCCGTTTTACCCGAACCTGTAGGTGCACAAGCCAAAATTTGTCTATTCTCTAACATAATAGGAATAGCTTGTTTTTGAATAGAAGTAGGTTCGGAATATCCACAGGATTTAATATTTTCAATTAAATCATTACTCAATTTAAAGTCATCGAAAGTTTTCGCTGGTTCAGGTATATTTTTACCTACAACACTTATGTTGTTTTCATTTCTATATCTATTTATTTCTTCTTGGCGTAATAATTTTGATTTACGTTCGATTTCATCATTAGTAAGGTCCCTTTTACGTTTTTTAGAAGAATGTTCTTCGGAATTTGTAGAAAATAAGGTTATGTTTTCATTCTCAGTTTTATTTTTTTCTTTTTGATCGATTATTTCTTCTTTTACCTCGATTTTTACTTGAACAGGACGGCTTTCTTTAGGTTTCTTCTTGTTAAAAACTGCACCTTTTGATAATTTTTTAAAAATATCGTATGCGTCCATCGTGATAAAAGTGAGGTTATAATTTTTGACAATTACTATTTTTATAGGTTATGTTTACTTTTTAAATGATTTTTTTTATTCAATATTAGGATATTTTCAATTTTGATAAAATTAAGTTGAAGAATTAATTTTGTTATTATGTTTATTTGGTAAAAGTAAAATTTTACAACTTAATTATTTCTAAATTTTTTCTTTTTGTGTTGTACATTAAAATTCTTATTCTTTTTATTTTGAAATTTTTTTCCCATGTTATCAATTAAGCTAGAATATCCCTTAGCCATTTCAACATCGGTAACCTCTTGTTCTTTTTTCAAATTGGCTTCCGTTAATTTTTCTGTATATCCTTCTTGCATTAGTTTTTCCACGTCAGGGTTCATCCCCCCAAAAGATAATCTTCCCTCAATTAGATCTTTACAATGAAATATTCCGGTTTCAACAAAAATAATGTTTCCACTTTTTCTCATCTCATCCGTAATTTCATTTGCGTACATATCTTGTCCTTCTGCATCTTCCTCCTCTTTCAATACTCTATCTCTGGTCTTTTTCATAAATTTCATATCCAAAATAGCTTTGGAAAGCTTTGCACGTTTACTTTCTTGCATTTTTATGTTTTTATTTATGATTGAGGTTATTGGAAAAACTTGTAATTTGACGTTTAAATGTCAAATATGACAATTTCACAAAATTGAGGTTATGTTTTATTCCCTTTATTTAAATAGATTTAATAAATAATTTTGAAATCAAGCTTTTTTTTTCTATTGTGCAGCAACAATAGTGCAGTCAAAATATACAGTTATTTTCCCTCTCCCGCTTTCTTTTTATAGCGAGAGAAATGGGATATCTGTCAGATAGCGATGTAATTATAAGATAACACGTGTTTTTATCAACTTACAGCGATAATGTATTTGTGATATTCATGCAATTTCGTTATTAAAATAATAAAAATTAAAATGCTACCCGCTACGCCTGGAAATTCTAAGGTAATTATAAAATGTTAGGTTATGTTGAGTTTAGATTTGATAAATATTGAAATTTAGGATGAGACGCAAGAAACGAGTTTTTCAAGACAAGGCTCCTTAAGGAAAGTGGTTTTAACACAACAAGTACATAAGGAGAATTTGTTTGGGCGGCAAAACGAAGATTTAAATAAATTTTATAAATCGGTACATCAAGAATATATTGTTTTAGCGGAGTAGTAAGTTGATATTTTTGAGTATTTTGAGTTTATTTCATTTTAAATTTTTAAGTCAAATGTTACAAAGTGAGAATTTACCAGGAATATATGTGATTCCATCCAGAAAATCCTGCCTAAGTATGTAAACAATATTAAATTATAACCAATTTATTTATTTATGTTTAATTAAAGATTGGTTTGGTGTGATTTTTGTAAGAAGCGGTCTTTATGAAGATGGTGTGTTTAGATTTAATATAGTGCTACCAGATACATTCCCTGATGGGGGACATCCAGTACGATACAATACAACAATAATTCACTATTTATTACATTTCTTTTACATTACAGAAAGTAGTCTTCCAATCGGAGATAATCCACCCTGTGATACACAACAGCACAAATGAATTACACTTACTAGATGGTTTTCCAATATGGGATAAAAGAGAACATCACATTTGGCAAGTTCTTAAATATATTCACTGGATATTTTATAATTTCAATTCAAGTCTTGCACATGCAATAAATAAAGAAGCTGTTATTTTGTATAAGGAAAATCAAGATGAATACACGAAAAAACTTAAAGATTTAATTAAAATAAACGAACAACATTTTTATGATCTCCCAGAAACCGAAGATAAGCATTATTTAATTTTTGAACCGTACGATCCTCAACTTCACGATACAATTCGAGAAAAGTTTTTATTGTTGCCAGAGGATAAGAAAACAAAAATATCCGGATACTCATGGGTTAATCGAGGTGGATACAATTCGTTAATGAGGCCAAATCATTTAGAAAACGTACAAGACAATAGTTAATGATGATTTTTGGTTGATAGTTTTTCTTATTGTTGTTTTTCCCCATTTTCATTAGTACTTAAACAAGAATTTTGAAAATGCAATCATAATTTTGAGCTGGGATTGTTTTATTTTATAAAAATGATAATTAATATTGCCTTAATATTGCTGAAAATAAGATTAAAGTTAAATATTTTTATGAAAATAAAAAAAAAGCGTTTGCGTACTATAAGTGACTGTTTTTTGAGATTTTATATTTATATGTGAGCCCTAGCAAATTTATATTTGAATAAATAAAAAAAACAAGTTTTTTGAAACGTTTAATTTGTTTTTTTATTACAATTTAATTCGGTTTTTTCTTAATAGCTTCTTTATACCAAACATTATTTAAATCATATTCTCTACCATCATAATTAAACTTTGTTGGAGGCTCTGTTTCCCCATTATCAAAAGTAAAATGTTTACTAAACTCAATTGCAAGTTTAGATCTAACTAAACCAATTCCACCAACTTTTTCGGGCGCAGGGTGATAAACTCTCCCTGATTCCGGTAACATAAATATCATTTCTGGTTGAAATTTATATGTCAACATTTCTCCGGCGTGATTATAAGCTAAAACAAGCTCCTCTTTTTCTTCTTTATTTATCTTTTTCATAACATGGGTAAAAACGAACGGGAAATCATCACATCGAACGTAATTTCTTTCTTTACCACACATAGACAAGTACGGAAATTCTTTATAACGATCCGTTTTGTTCAAAAGCATTTGATTAAAAAAGAATCTCAAAAATTTCTTTTCTTTAAAACAAGAAGTGAAGTTCTTCATCTTTGAATCATCTAAAAACAGCTTTTAAAAGATTAAAATTATAAAAATATAAACAAATATTCATGTTTTTACCATCCCTTGGTGGTCTATGTAATAAAAATATTCTCTTTCCTTACGTTCTGTTTCTTGTCCTTGAATATACGATACATAACGTTCAAGATTATTATATTGTGGTTTTAAATTGTTTAAAATATAATTCCTGAAATTAAGTTTTAAGAACATTTTGGACTCTACTTGGTTCAATGTTCATTATTTTAGTTATTTTAGTAGTTTGTTTTTTTTTGTTATTAGGTTGGTGCTTTTTATTTTGATTATTTAATTTAATTAAATGTTTTAATTTTATAATTAATTAAAAATTATTATCATTATTAACATTAAAAATAACGTATTACTTAGAATTATTATTAATTTATTAAATAAGCAATTAGATTAAATAAAATTTAGTTCATTTTTATTATTAGGCATTTTAATCCTGTCAACAATGCTTTGACATTTCTATAAACGTCAGTAAACCGCTTAGATAGAAGCAAAGTTTGTTGATTTATTGTATCAAATTAAATAAAAAATGGGTAGATCGCGAAGTAGGAGCCCTAAAAAACACCACAAAAGTAAACATCACAAACGTAGCCGCTCAAAAGATCGTTCGGAACGTAGTTCGAGTTCTCACAGTAAAACTTATAAAGAAAAATCAAAAGAACGGAGTTCAAAATCAAGGTAAATCTGACCAATTAATTAGAATATATTTATAAAAATCGTTATTTCGTTTAGAAAACGTTCGAATTCGTGTTCGTCGTACTCTAGTACCGATGGTTCAACAGAAAATTCTCGTGTAGAAAGATATAAACACAAAAAGTCCAAGTCTGTTCGAAAAATGGATGAAGTTGAACGTTTGGCGGAAATGGAACGACAAAGAAGACAACGTGAAGCTGAACAACGAATGGTAGAAGAAGAAACGGCTAAAAGAATAGAAGAATTAGTTAATAAACGTGTTGAGGATGAATTAGAGAAAAGAAAAGATGAAATTGAGAGGGAAGTGAGTAAACGTGTTGAAGAAGCAAAGAAAATTATGGAAAGACAGATGATGGAAGAGATGGAAAGACGTCGGGAGAGACAGTTACTTGAAGAAAAAAATAGAGAGGTAAGATTAAAATTGTGGATACGAAAGTTTTTAAGGTTTATTTGTTTATTCGATGTAATCGAGTTGTTGTTATCTTTATTATTATTTAAATAGGGTTGATACAAAAAATAAATTATCGGAAACGATGGAAGTTTTTATGGAGAAGTTTAAAATAGCATTTTTGTTTTTATTTCTTCGCGTTTTTGTGTATTTCAGGATTAATTAGATTTCTTTTGTTGTTCTTTTTTAAGTAGGGTAGGATTTAATAATTTTTTTAATTAAAAAGACTTTGTATTTATGTATTAATTATAATAATTAGATTGTATGGGTTTATAAAAAATTTATTAAAAAAAAAACTTAACTATAGAATTAAAAAAGAGGGTAAAATGCGAAATAGAAAGAGGATTGATGTTAAAAAAAACGACCGTTAATAGCCTAAATGATTAACGATACCGTTTGCCGCTTGGCTAATATAGCTTGTAAGGTATCGGGAGCAGCTAGCAGTGAAGGTTATCGAAGAAACGAGCTGCCTATGGGCTTCAATAAGGACCTACCTCCTCTAGCAGGTATTATCCAGCCTTTTTTTCTTATTTATTTTTCTTAATTCCATTTTTTAAATTTATTTTGTATACTTTTAAGTATATTTTACACTTAAGACGTTCTCCGCAGAATGGTGTATTTAAAAAAAAGATTTTTATAAAAATAACCCAGTTTTTAACACGTTCCGACCCAAAAAAAAATCTAGCTTGTGTGATTCTACTCGAGAAGCAAAAATAAATTATAATAACCTAATATCATCTCAGTTTGAATGACATTTTCTTATTTCAAATTATACTTTGATTGTTGTTTGGTGTGAATGTTAATAACAAAAAGCTAGGGGTCGGATTTTGATTGTATTCGATTGGATATTCACGCTGGTTAAATGTTTATAGGAAGAGGAGAGGCGGAAGCGTGAAGAATTGGAACATATCATGGCGGAGAATAACAGAAAAATTGAGGAGGCACAAAGAAAATTGGTAATGATATTAATAATGCTGAGTTTATTTTTTATACATTCATTGTTTTTAGGCGGAAGAAAGACTGGCTATGGTTGAAGAACAACGTAAAATGGAAGAAGAAAAACAAAAATTACGAAAAGAGCAGGAAAAACGTGTTAAAGAGGAACAGAAAAGGATTTTGGGGAAGAATAATTCAAGACCCAAATTATCATTTTCATTGAAACCTGTTCTTTAGCAGTTTTTCAGTTTTTTATAAATTGATTTTTGTGATAAGAGTGACGGTTTTGATTTGACGCGCGATTCGCGAGTGCTCAGATTTTAATTCTTTTCTTTTGTAACTTTGATTATGATTTAAAAGTAATATTTACTTAGGGTTAATTTGTTTTTCTATTTTATATCTTCTCAATTTCTAGGTACAATTTTATTATAAATCTGTTTAATTATGTTTATTATTTCGAACTGAATATAGTTAATAATAAGATATTCCAATAAAATAGATTTACAAAGTATTTTTTCAACTACTTATTTCATATTCTATAATCCATGTACAGGGTGGTTCAAATTCGATGTCCGAATAGGCTAACTCGGAAACTATAAGAGTTAGAAAAAAAGTAGCTTACATGTCATGATCTCGTTTTTCGAGAAACTGCTAATGCCGAAAACCTCATAGCGCTATCGTCTTTTGTTTTTCCCCTAGAGGCCAAAATTGAAAATATCGTAAAACCAATAAGTGCAATTATCTTGGTTATTATTATAGGTGGAGTATTATAACTAAGACATTATATGGACACTTTTTTACAGAGAATTTGATGACGTAGTCAAAAAAATTTTGTCGGTTTTAGATTTTGAGATATTATCACAATTTTCGTTTTTTTAAATGGAAACAACCACTGATTATTCGCTTAATAAATTCGTTATTTTTTTCTGATTACAAAAATATAGGGTTTGACAGGTCTATTTCTTATTGTTTTAGAATAAAACTAAAAATAAACTTTTCTTTTAGTGTCGTCGAAGAAATTAAATTTACAGTTTCCTGTAAATTACGGTTCTATAACTAAAAATTAAAAAAACATATTTCTGATATTTGAAACAAATATATTTGTTGAACTGTTTAATTTATATATGTTTTACACAAAAGTTGGAATAGATTGCATTATTTCACATTTTTTATTACGATTTAATATTATTTTTAAATGACTTAATAAATTATCGATAGATGGCGCTCATATTTTTTTTTTTTAATTCAAATAAACATAGCAACATTTGTTTGTATTCAAAAATTTTCTGAAATGTCACTTTAAAAATCCTGTTTTTAAGGTCAATTACGAAAATTTTGAAAAGTTTGACATGTTAGAATGTTACATATTAAAAAATTATTTGTTTTTAAATACCAGAAGTTATCTTCGTATTTAATTGTTAACTTTTTAGATTTTACCTACCGCCCCGTAACTTACAGGAAACTGTAAATTTAATTTCCTCGACGACACTAGATGGAAATTTTATAAAAAAAGTTTATTTTTAGCTTTATTCTAAAACAATAAGAAATAGACCTGTCGAACCCTATATTTTTGTAATCAGAAAAAAATAACGAATTTAATAAGCGTATAATCAGTGGTTGTTTCCATTTAAAAAAACGAAAATTCTCATGATATCTCAAAATCTAAAACCGAAAAATTTTTTTTGACTCCGTCGTGAAATTCTCTGTAAAAAAGTGTCCATATAATGTCGTAGTTATAATACTCCACCTATAATAATAACCAAGATAATTGCACTTATTGGTTTTACGATATTTTCAATTTTGGCCTCTAGGGGAAAAACAAAAGACGGTAGCGCTATGAGGTTTTCGGCATTAGCAGTTTCTCGAAAAACGAGATCATGACATGTAAGCTACTTTTTTTCTAACTCTTATAGTTTCCGAGTGAGCCTATTCGGACATCGAATTTGAACCACCCTGTACAGTACATATGTTACTTAATTATCCTTCCAGACGCGTGACGTCATCATTACAAGTATGCAACCAATATCACAGTATTGGTATTGCAATACACAATTTGCGTATTACATAATGCTACTTAGTGTAAAACTAGAACTAGAAAGTTTCGGGTTTGTTTCTAGTTCTAGGTTAATTTTATTATAAATCTATTTAATTATGTTTATTATTTCGAACTGAATATAGTTAATAATAAGATATTCCAATAAAATAGATTTACAAAGTATTTTTTTCAACTACTTATTTCATGTTCTATAATCCATGTACAGTACAGCTCTGTTCAGATTTAATGCGAATCGTCCGCTGTTAGCTCCGACATGACGCTGGTACTGGAAGAAGACGGAGACATCTTTTGTTTCTATTCAATTCGATTTCTGAGACTAAAGGAAGTTACCCTTTTCCTTAACCCAGGTAAAACCGTCCCAGTTTGAAGTGGGCCGAAGAATGGATCACCCTTTTTTTAAATGTGTTAATTTTATTTTATTTTAAATCTTTTTTGATATTTTTAAGAACAACAAATAGACGATTTTTTATATGTTCCTCTAATAAATGATTTTAGAATATTTCTATAAATAAAACGTCAGATAAAAATCTCAGTAATACAATTAATATAATATAAAACTTATAAATAAAGCTTTATGAAACTCTCCTTCAAATTATAAATAGAAAATATCAAAATTACGTGCATTCAAATTTGTCCGTTTTCTTAAATACAACATACCTCGTGTTCCTGGTCAACAAGAGTCAGGTTTGACTACGAGGCGAGCAATTATTGCACTTCATCAAGAAGGAATAGATAAACGGGAAATTGCCGAACGTGTAGGCCTATCAGTAAGATTTGAAGAAATCGGGAAAATTGGCCTTACAACATCTAGATCAGGCCGAAGACTTATTCTTAATAATGCTCAACGAAGGAGAATTGCTGAATACGTCACCGCCAATCCATTTACAACGTCCACAATTATCAAGGATTTAATTCGATTGAATATATTCGAGTGCTGGAGGATGTTTTGATACCATCAGTAAGAACCTTGTATCCAGAAGGGATCATTACGATTGTCCAAGACAATTCACCCGTGCATTCTTCAAGAATTGTTCATGATTGGTTTGACGATCATAATGACGTTAGGCAAATACCCTGGCCAGCGCGGTCACCTGATCTTAACCCAATCGAAAATCTATGGACTTTGGTGGAAAAACAGTTCAATAAAAATGCCAACTTTCCGATTCGCAATGTGGCTAATCTGAATTGTTTCACGGCAAGGATGTATGCGAAAGAGTAGTAAATTCGATGCCCACCAGATTGCAATGTTGCATAGAGAATAATGGATATTATACTAGTATATTAAAAAACAAGTTTCGTAAGACACGTTTGAAATGCACGAATTCAAGTTGAAAAACGAGTTTTTTAATGAATGAATGCTTTAAGTCTTATGAAACGTGTTTTTTATGCTATTTTTTGTAATTCGCGTTTCTATCCTTTTTCTCCTCAAAAATAAAATAAATTTTGACAAAGTAGGAAAATAGGTATCTAGCAGTTGGTAACACTTGAAAATAGAAATTTGAATTGACAATTAGAAACTGTCAAAACACAAAATGTATTCACCTGACAAACATGTTTCATGTACACCTCCCAAAATAAGAGAAATTGCTCAGAGTTCNTTCCTGTAAATTACGGTACTATAATTAAAAATTAAAAAAAACATATTTCTGATATTTGAAACAAATATATTTGTTGAACTATTTAATTTATATATGTAATTATACAAAAGTTGGAATAGATTGCATTATTTCACATTTTTTTATTAATTTTTAATATTATTCTTAAATGACTTAATAAATTATTGATAGATGGCGCCATATGTTTTTTTTTGAATTCAAATAAACATAGCAACATTTGTTTGTATTCAAAAATTTTCTGAAGTCTCACTTTAAAACTCCTGTCTTTAAGATCAATTACGAAATTTTTGAAAAGTTTAACATGTTAGAATGTTACTTATTAAAAAAATTATTTGTTTTTAAATAGCAGTAGTTATCTTCTTATTTAATTGTTAACTTTTTAGATTTTACCTACCGCCCCGTAACTTACAGGAAACTGTAAATTTAATTTCGTCGACGACACTAGATGGAAATTTTATACAAAAAGTTTATTTTTAGCTTTATTCTAAAACAATAAGAAATAGACCTTTCGAACCCTATATTTTTGTAATTAGAAAAAAATACAGAATTTCATAAGCGAATAATCAGTGGTTGTTTCCATTTAAAAAAATGAAAATTGTCATGATATCTCAAAATCTAAAAACGAAAAAATTGTTTTGTCTACGTCATCAAATTCTCTGTAAAAAAGTGTCCATATAATGTCTTAATTATAATACTCCACCTAGAGTAATAACGAAGATAATTGCACTTGCTGGTTTTACGATATTTCCAATTTTGGCCTCTAGTTAAAAAACAAAAGACGATAGCGCTATGAGGTTTTCGGCATTAGCAGTTTCTCAAAAAACGAGATCATGACATGTAAGCTACTTTTTTTCTAACTCTTATAGTTTTCGAGTTAGCCTATTCGGACATAGAATTTGAACCATCCTGTACATTACATATGTTACTTAATTATCCTTCCAGACGCGTGACGTCATCATTACAAGTATGCAACCAATATCACAGTATTGGTATTGCAATACACAATTTGCGTATTACATAATGCTACTTAGTGTAAAACTAGAACTAGAAAGTTTCGGGTTTAGCCGCACGTCTCTCAAGACGGCTAAACCCGAATGTTTCTAGTTCTAGGTTAATTTTATTATAAATCTATTTAATTATGGTTATTATTTCGAACTTGCAACGAACTGAAACAAATAAAACATTATAGATTTCTTTATTATTTTATTTTGAATAAGGTGGTAATCCATATCTTTCCGGAAAAAAATCTTCCAAACTATCAACAACTTCAGTAGCTTGTTGAAGTGCTGTCCATGGTGTTGGTTTGCACGGGACACCAACAACTTGCATACAAGCATTTTTAGCAGCTAAAACACCAACTGGGGAGTCTTCAAAAACTAAACAAAATCGTGGATGGGGGTTTGCCTCAAAAAATGAAGCACAAACCGAAAAGATTTGACCGGAAGGTTTTGATTCGGTCACCCGATAATCATCACCACCACTAAGTACATGATGAAACTTGGAAATTAAATGCTTAATATGTTTCGTTTTAGCTGTAAAAGATGTTTTTTTTGATGAAGTAGCGATAGCCATTGGAATTTTATGTTTATAAAGGTGGTTAATTAATTTTTCAACGCCCGGTCTAAGTGGTGCTAATGTTAAAGTATCTTTTGCGCTTTCTCGATATTGTTGATACAACGATTTCCACCCAATTTTTAATTTTAATTCTTTAGCTACCGTTTGCCATGTAGATTTTCCAGTTCTTCCCATTACTTTTAATCGCCAATCTAATGAATATGTTTTGCCATGTTTTCGGAAAACTTTCGCGTAAGCTTCGTCCACTTTATGTTGATTATCTAATATTGTTCCGTCCAAATCGAAAATACAATGAGTTACCGTTTTGAATTTTTTCAAACATTTTTTCAAACCATAATTTTTTATTGCATAACCAAATTTTGATATTGACATTTTAATCTACCCAAAAAAAAAGTATAAATGACACTTGGCTTGTGACCTTCCAAGCAGCAAACCACGCGTTGTTAAAAAAAATGTTAAATATTGGAGATGTACCAAAATTGGAAATTGGAATGCTGTGTAAATACCGTTCAGAAAGAGTTGCCATTCTTTCCAAAGTACAGACATGAATATCTTTTTGAAAATGAACTGAAAATTACTTGGTTTGAATCAAACTTTTCACAATCAAGGTATAATTTTGAACACATCAACATTGCAAGTAATGCTTGTACCATTATTGTTATATTATTGGCTGCAAAATGTTTTGAAAATAAAATTCACGTAAGATTAATTTTTAATGTATTAATTTTTTTCATCACAATTTTTTTAGATGTTTGGCCCAGAGAAAGATATAAATTACTTCTTAGTAAAAGCATTCGGTGAATGTATTTTAGAAGGAAATGAAATTCATCAAAATTTAAAACAACGAGGTGCTTTAAGTAATGTTAATTTAACGGTTCCGGAAGGTATTAAACATTCAGGATTAAATAAACAATTAGGTCTTGTCGAATGGGTAAATAAAGCATTTTTAAAATTATAACGCAACCCAACATACACCATTATTTATGATTTTTAAGAAATGCAAATTACACATGCAACCCCTTGGTTTAACACTATATAAAAACTTAAAGAAATGCTGGTTACAATGGTTAAGTTGCAATCTAAGTCAAAAACGTGAAGATCTCTACGTGGTACTAATTTCGGATTCAAGAAGTGTTTTATTCATATTAAATTCGACTTTGAATACGGTAAATTTAAGATTATTTGAATTAATCAAATTAAAAATATCGTTTTTAAGGTAACTTTAATAGATTCCCATCAACATACGTTTGATAGAGGGGCTGTAATTGCGATTGCAACTCGGCATAAAATGAAACATCTTTGTAATTGGTTTGGAGATTTAATTTACAGTTGTTATAAATCAACACCTTTGTTATATGAATTATCCTTCTTGTATTTTAAAGGACAACGAGGAGGTAAATCGAAAAAAAAGCGATTAAAGGAAATTTAATTAAAACAACGATAAAAAAATAGTAAAAGGTTATATTAGAAAAATAGTATTAGAAGAAAAAATTGTTCATCTAGGTTTTAAAAGGAATACATGCTGGAAGCTGGAAGGTCAACATGAAAATCAAATTTAACGCTAATAAGTGGAAAAATTGGATAAATTTAAATAATAATTTTTATTTTCTCCATTTTATATTGCTTCCTTTTTTGAGTATGTTTATGGATTTATTTATTTAATTATTTTTTTGGTGTGTATGTCTTTTGTCAAATATTTAAAATTAAGTTAATGTTTAGAATTGCAAAGATTAGAAACATTCGGGTTGTGTGTCTCTTAAAACAGCCAAACCTGAATGTTTGTAGTTCTAGGTCTAGTGTTAGTTCTAGAGATAGTGTTAGTATAAAACTAGGAACTTAGAAACTTCAAAAACTAGAAACTTCAATTATAGCATCAAGGAATGTCGGTTTTCTTTTGAATACCAATTGTAGCGTGAAGAAACTCCAATTATAGCGTGAAGGAATGTTCGGATAGGTCAGTTTTGTTTTGATACCCTAATTATAGCATGAAGGATGTCGGTTTGCTTTTGAACCCCAATTATAGCGTGAAGAAACTACAATCACAGCGTGAAGGAATGTCGGTTTTCTTTTGAACCCCAATTATAGCGTGAAGGAATGTCCGTTTTCTTTTGAACCCCAATTATAGCGTGAAGAAACTCCAATTATAGCGTGAAGGAATGTTATGATAGGTCAGTTTTGTTTTGATACCCTAATTATAGCGTGAAGGAATGTCGGTTTTCTTTTGAACCCCAATTATAGCGTGAAGAAACTCCAATTATAGCGTGAAGGTATGTTAGGATAGGTCAGTTTTGTTTTGATACCCTAATTATAGCGTGAAGAAATGTCGGTTTTCTTTTGAACCCGAATTATAGCGTGAAGAAACTCCAATTATAGCGTGAAGGAATGTTAGGATAGGTTAGTTTTGTTTTGATACCCTAATTATAGCGTGAAGGAATGTCGGTTTTTTTTTGAACGCCAATTTTAGCGTGAAGAAACGCCTATTATAGTGTGAAGGAATGTCGGTTTTCTTTTGGACCCTAATTATAGTGTGAAGGAATGTTAGGATAGGTCAGTTTTCTTTTGAAATCCCAATTATAGCGTGAGGAAACTCCAATTATACCATGAAGGAATGTTAGATGAGGTCAGTTTTGTTTACAAATGTCAATCAACCCGGAAAAAATATTGAAAAAACCAGAACTAAACATAAAATAAGTGCATGGATGCATGATTTGCGCCAGTGAGCTGGCACCAATTTAATTTCATGTGAAAATAGCAAAAATCCATTGGCGCCAGTAATCATAGTGCCAATAAAGTTGACCGAACGTCTACTTTTTGGCGCCAATAGTAGTAGATATTGGTATTGGTAAAGAAAACGAGCAACTGTATAAACGTGTTCGACCGTAAATGAAGCCTTGAGATTATGTCGAATAAAATAGTTCCCAATTTTGTCAAAAACTCGGCAAAGGCAAAAAAAAGAAGTATACGCTATGTGCATAAAAGTAAATACTACAATGTTTTAAATTCGTTCGGAAGTGGTGCATCTGCTGACGATGTGTATTATTATGACATAATAATGTGCATAATTAATAATTATGTATATTCATGACATAGTTCTCTAATTAAAGTACTTGATGCACCTAGGTCATTTCTACGTGCAATCCACGATCGAACCCTGTACCTATGTTTATGTTATTTTTTTGTTAATAACATGAGGAGTTCCAAGGAGCACATTTGCATTTCCACACTAATGACAGCACGAAGTACATCACTTGACGGCATTTTTGTTACTATGCCAGTACATAATTACAACATCTATGTGGAAACAACTGAACTGGCTTCTTACTGGCGCCAATAATCCATGCATGTAGAAACGTGGCCTTAGAAGTAGAATGTTTCGGGTTTAGCCTTGCGTTTTCAGACAATTTTTTATTTATAATTTACCGGCGCGTTTCTGCACATTTACCGTTTTTGATCCTATTATAGCGGATCACATGGCTTGTTCACTCGAGGTTCTTTTTGAGCCGGTAACTGATGTGAACATAGAGGCGCCTGTGGTAGTAAGGCGTCGTGTGTTGTCAAATTCGAATCTTGCTAAGTTATATTCGCAATTACGTGATTATGATTGGTCGGATATCTGTTCAAATATTCAATCCGACTCTTATGACCGTTTTTTGAATGTATTTATGTTTTACTTTGATATATGTTGCCCTATAGTTTCTTGTCGTCCTGGTGGTTGTAATAGAGCTCCCTGGATTACAAATGATATAATAAGTGCTGGCAGGGAACTTAAAGACATGTTTTGGATTATGAGCAACGGTTATCCGGAGTTGCGTAACTTATATAATGTTAAGAAGGGTTCATATAGAAAACTAATTAATGAAACTAAAAAGAAACATACTATGAAACAAATAATAGAGTCATCGAATAGAAGTCGCGCAGTGTGGCATTGTGTAAATAACCAATTGGGTAAAGGAAGGAAGCAAACTAGTTTTCTGTTGCGTTCGGATGATGGTCATATGATTAGCGACACTGCGCAGATCTGCTCAACATTTTCAAAGTTTTTCACAACATCTGTTGAGGAGAAGGTAGAGTTGATTTATGGCCCGATGAGGGATGTATCTTGCACCGTTGGTAGCTCTGTACCCAATAGCATATTTTTGTATACTATATCCTCCGCAGAAATTCTAGCGGCCATCAAGCGCTTAAAAAACGTACGCTCGACGGGTTGCGATGGCATCGGTGTGAGTGTAATTAAGTATGTAGCGTCTTGTCTGGTCGAGCCCCTTAAGCATGTATTTAATTTTTCTGTTTGTTCTGGAATCTTTCCCGGGGCGCTGAAAATTTCTCGGGTCATTCCAGTTTTCAAGGCTGGTGATCCTACAAATGTCAACAATTTCAGACCAATAGCGATAACTAGCGTTTTTTCAAAGATATTTGAAAGCATCGTCTCGGAGCGAATTTTGAGTTTTCTGGACAGGTTCAATGTTGTTAGTAATGCTCAGCATGGTTTTAGGCGGGGCCTGTCTACAGAGACTGCGTCATTGAATTTTATTGAGTTCATCTACGATAACCTGGATAAAGGTAATTTTGCTGTGGGTCTGTTCTTCGACATGTCGCGTGCGTTTGATTCGCTGCCACTAGTGTACATCATGCAGAAATTGTATGCTTTGGGTTTGCGAGGCACGATTTTAAATTGGCTTCAATCATTTCTGGAGGAACGAAAAATAAAAGTGGTCCTCTCTGGTCAGGAGTCATCGGAATCAAATGTTCGACTGGGAGTTCCCCAGGGCTCAATCTTGGGCCCATTAATTTTTCTATTGTATATAAATGACCTTCCTGAGTATCTTTCCGATGTCCACATAGTCATGTATGCCGATGACACGTCAATTGCCCTGGCGTCGAATGATGCTGATATGCTTTTTTCTAAAGTCAAGCATACCGTTGAATCATTTGATGCTTGGTGCAAACAAAATCGTATTGTTCTTAATCTAAAAAAGACCGTGTTTGTAAATTTTCATAAGAGGAGAAGGCTTCCGCAAGCCGATGATATCATTCTATCAAATAGCTGCAAGTTTTTGGGTGTTTATCTAGACGAGCAGCTAAGTTTTGACAAACATGTTGATCATCTGGTTTCGAAATTGAACTCGTCCTTCTATGCAATTCTGAAGTTGAAGGGATGCCTCCCGCTATCGGGATTATTAGATGCGTATTATGCTCTCTGTTATTCGCATCTCTCATATAATATATTATTGTGTGGAAGATCGACGGAGTGACGGCGTGCCTTTGTAGCACAGAAGCGCATTCTAAGATTAATCTTCGACCTAAACTGCAGAGATTCGTGTAGAGATACATTCAAGGCCAATTCGCTTCTTACTTTTCAAAGTATATATATATATATATATATAAATCAGTTGTTCATGTGCGGGAGCATGTGGATAGATACCCTGTCATGAAACACAATTACGAAACTAGATCTGATAGTTTGGTGTGCTTGGGTCATCATAAGACGGCTTTCTTTGAAGAGTCCACGGTATGATTTCCCAAAGCTCTATAATAATTTGCCATCTGCAATTAAAAAAGCTGATACGCTTAGCTCATTTAAACATAAAGTAAAAATGATGCTTGTAGAAAGGGCGTTTTACGACCGCCAGGAATACTTGTCATTTAATTTTAGTATTAGTCCTAGTCAACTAGCATAGGTCATACTTCATAATTTAATTTCTCTCTTTTTTTGTTGAATATTGTGTATGTTGTGTATTATATATTGTATGTGGTTTGAACTTGTCACATCTACTATTTGTAGCCAGGTGATTAAATAAATTATTATTATTATATGTTTTGTATATACAACGTATCTCAAATATTAATATTTATTAGAATTATTATGTATTAGTCCGATAGTGACGTCATTTCCTGGTTTATAAGAGATGTTGCATTGTTTTGCAAGTAAAGCAACCAAATATACAAAATCGGTAATGTGTAATTCTACATTACCGACAATTCCCGTACAAACCATAAATTTTAATCAAAACGGATTTATTGTAAAAGAAAACAGTAATAGAATAAAACTAATATTTATTTATTTTTTTATCATTTATAAATTGTATAAAGTGTAAATAAACTAGTAGTTAATTAATGTACAGAGTTGCTATTTATTTTCCAAAGTCTAATAAAAAAAAAGTATTCAATTTTTTCTCTTTTTTACAAACAGATTCTCTTTTTAGATTTGAATCTTTATATAAATTTTAACCTTACTTATTAAGAGTTTTTTTTCATTTAAATTTATACAAGTTCGCAAAAATATCTACGTTAACTAACCAATAATTAATTAATAATCACTCGGTATGTACAAATATCCTAACGAAAAAATGGGGTTCACTTTCATTGTCCCCCCTTTTTTTTCTATCGTATGGGTACCATCTAATAATAAGGGGGTACCCAACGCACGATTTTCTTGTATTTTTTTTTATTTTAAGAAAATCGAAACGATCACGAAAGAAACGAGAGAGAAAAAGAGCTAGAAAGCGTCTATTTTTTTTATAATGTTTCAGATGAAAACAAAGTTTCTAGTGAATGCTAGTCCTGACTCGTACTGTGAGGCTGCTCCTCCTTGGTTCTTGTACTTGCCCACTCCACGAAATCATCAATTAAAACAGGCCACGCGCCTTCTTCATCGTAATTACTCATATCATCTGCTATTTGACCGGCAAAATCTAATAAAAGGTTCCATGTATCTTTTGGTATTGATCGTTTGTGATGTTCCTATATTAAAAAATTTGAAATAATTTTTTTTATTATAAAATTAACTTACCTGTAAAAAAGTACACCAAAGATCAAGAAATTTAAACCTCCCTTTAAGTACAATATTCCAATAAGCTATAGCCATATCAAGATCAAGTCCTTTTTGACCAGGATTTTTGGCATAATTAAAAGTAAATTGATAAAAATCTTTAAACTTGTAACTATCCCTAAGTTCATTTTCAAGGCTAGAAAATCTTCCTTTTAATTTATCGATTCCGTCACAGCCCATTTCAATCATTCCGTTCATAAATTCTTCCCTTGTGAATTCACATTGTGTGGCCGCTTTGAATTTCCACGCGATAATCAAGACTAATTTTGACTCGGGTGTCAATTCGAGATCATCGAGGAACTTCATTATACCGTCTGCTGTTATTTTATCAGGTTCTGCTGGGTCTCTATATCGACTGTAAAGCGAATCCAATTTTTTTCTGTCTACGTTTCTCGGTTCTTTATAATAAGCTTCTGGATTTTGAAAGTAATTGTCGCTAGCCAAATCCAACTTCCAATCATTTTGAGCCAAACAGAAGATTGCCGTATTCTCCCCAGTTTGAGTGAACGATATAAATTTCTTCACTTTTTCTTTTTGAGATGATTTTAATTTGTGCTGTAACATGTAAGTGAATAATAATAATTAACGATTAATAACTAATTCGATACACTAGTTGTAAATTAACAACAACGGATTATTTTTTTTAAGGTTATAATACATTTGACAGATGACAAAAGATTTTGATTTTTTATAACAATCAAAAAAAAATTTACGTTGATTTCATTTGGTATGATTGTTGTTTAGTTATTTACCATTTCTATATGAGATATAAACGGGGATTTAGCTCGGTGTGATGAGTAAAAAAACGAGTCAAAACAAATACATTCTTCAAGAATAACAAAAATTAACCTCTAAAATTAACATTCGGTCAATGATACCACCTCCGTAAATGTTACGAGACCTTTTTTTGACATCCTGGTTACTTTTTATTTTTTTTAAATTGTTTTAAAACATCCGAAATTAATTATTTTTTTAAAATAATTTTAAGTATTAATAACAAATAAAGCTTTATTTTTATACGTTATTTTATTTCGGTTATTTTTTTTTCTCGTCCAATAAAATATAAAAATGGAAGCGACAACAGCACCATCTCTTTGTTAGAAGTGTAATAAAAAATGAATTGACATATTTAAATAATATAATTTTAGATTAATTAACATTTCAAATGTAAAAATAACTATAATAATTAAGATAAACAATTTACTTATTGTAATAAATAAAATATATAAAATTTACGCTTTTTTTTATTACTACCCATTTAAGTATTTATCAAAAATAAGACATAACCTAACTTTTCAAAGGAATAATGTGTTATAATAAAATACTTTTTAAAACTAAATCAATTAATTTTAGTACATTTAAACAGTATTATTCGCAACAAAACGTGCGAGTGCGTTTCGCCCCCAGTCCAACAGGTTAATTTCTAATCTCAAATTGACAGAAATCTTACAAGTAACAAAATGAAATTATAATTTAAACATTTCAGGTTTCCTTCATTTAGGAGGATTACGCACAGCGTTATATAACCATTTGTTTGCTAAAAAACATCAAGGAAAATTTATTTTAAGAATAGAAGATACAGACCAAACTAGAATTGTTGAGGGTGCATCCGATCAATTGTATAAAGATTTAATATGGGGCGGTATTGAAATTGATGAGGGACCACACACTGGAGGTGAATTTGGTCCGTATGTTCAATCAAAAAGAACTGATTTATATAGGTTTGTTTATGTATATACTTTTTGTTTTAATTTTAATATTATTATGATAAAAACATAGAGAACAAATTGAGATTTTATTAAAGAATGGTTCTGCCTATCGTTGTTTTTGTACAAATAAGCGATTAGAATTACTGCGAAAGGAGGCGGTAAGAACCAGACAAATACCAAAATATGATAATCGATGTCGACACCTCACAGAAAATGAAATTTCCAAAAAGATATCTTCTGGAGAATCTTATTGTATTCGATTTAAAGTAAGAATTAAGGATTATAAGTTTATTGATACTAATTTTATAAAAAGCTTTTAAAAGGTTATGAAAAATTCAATGATTTAATTTACGGTGACATTGTTTATGATATAACATTAAATGAAGGTGATCCAATTGTTATAAAATCGGATGGTTTTCCAACGTATCATTTTGCAAATGTAGTTGATGATCACTTAATGGGTATTACTCATGTTTTGAGAGGTGTAGAATGGCAAATATCGACTACAAAACATTTATTAATGTACAGGTTAGAAAAAAGTGATTTATACATTTTTAATGAATACAAAAACAAATAATTAAATTAGAGCTTTTGGATGGCGACCACCTTTATATGGCCATTTACCTTTATTAATTAACGCGGATGGGACTAAATTAAGTAAAAGACAAGGTGATATCAAAATATCGAGTTACAGAGAAAATGGGATTTTACCTCAGGCTTTAATTAATTATATTACATGTTCCGGTGGTGGTTTTAAAAAAGATTTAGAACAAAATATTAAACCGAAATGTTTTACTATGAAAGAACTTACGGACCAGGTAAAAATTAAAAATAATTATTTTAATTTAATCAAATTTTAATGCATTTTAGTTTAATTTGGAAAATATAAATGTGTCATCAGGAAAATTAATGCCAGAACGATTATTGGAATATAATCGTTTAGAAATTGAAAGAAAACTCAAAATTCCTGAAGAACAACAAAAATTATGCGACATTTTAAAGAATTTAATCAGAGAAACTTTAATTGATCAAAAATCGAAAATAACGTTACAACTAGATGATGATCATATTAAAAAAATTCTTACATGGTCTGTAAATAGAATAAATAAATTATCTGATCTTGTATCGAAAGATTTAAATTTTTTGTGGATAATTCCATCGCACGATGATCGAAGACGTTTTGATTCGAAAGAAATGGAACGAGTTAGTAAATTACAATCAATTTTGAATGAAAACGATGATCGAAGTTTCGTTAAAGAAAATCTCGAAATTCTTTTAAAACGATTTTCTCAAGATAACGATTACGACTATAAGAGATTTATGAAATTGTTACGAACAGTTTTAAGTGGTTTAAAAGAAGGACCTGGAGTTGGGGAAATGATGGAAATTTTAGGCAAGGAAAATACGTTAAATAGAATTGATAATTTTTTAAATCATAATAAAATAAAATGATTTATTTAAAAAATTGTTTTGTTTTACTTTTTACTTAGTATTTTAATAAAGAAATTTGTTAGAGCGCGTGAAATAACATAATTTAGTGATATTTAGACATTATCAAATTTGAAGTTGGTATGTCATAACAAATGTCATTTATCTGTCACTAATTCATAGATGGCTCTCATCACATGATTACTAATTTAATAATTTGATTATTTTAAATTATATATTTTTTATATTACGTAAATTCTGAAGAATTAAATCGGGTAAATTATTTGCATTAAAACCTCATCTATAGTAGTTTGGTTAATTTATTATTTTATTTATTGAGTGATGTTATTCATAGATTACAGATGGCTCTCATCTCAGCGATTACATTTAATAATTTAATTGATTTAATTTTTCTTATATTTCGTATAATATTAAAGAATTAAAATGTTTTAAATATTTACATTATAATCTCATCTACTGTAGTTTGTTTAATTTATTATTTTATTTATTGAGTAATGTTACTCATTGATCACAGATGGCTCTCACCCCAGTGATTAATTTATTAATTAATTTAATTATTTAATAATTAATTGATTAAGAATTATATATTCTTTATATTATTTTAAAGAATTAAATCGTTTACATTATTTACATTAAAATTTCATTGCTATTTTAAATTTGTTTTAAAGTTGTGTTAATAGATGACTCTGAAATCACCTTTTTGATTAAAAACTTGTTAATTATAATAATTAAATAAAGTTGTTAAAAACTGTTAGGTAAAGTGTTAAATAATACAAAAAAAAATAATTAAACGTTAATTCAATATAACATTGTTTTTTTATTATCACAATAAAAAAGAACCAGTTAACCACAAATCGATGACGTATCCGTTAATTTTTAAATAAATTTTATTGATAACAATAGGAATCACATTTTTTATATTATTTGGCGATAAAAATAAGATGAAGTTAACGCTTTGTCTAAGTCCAAGTGCTCGATAAATAATTCGGTGTTTTATAATTTGATGGGGAATCACATTGGGTCATAATGAAAAATCCGGTTAGATAAAAAAGGATTGTTTAAAGTTTATTGTATGGCAATAAATAAAATTTATTGTAGGGATATAATAAATAATAGCGTCGTGGAAATCACAGCCAAAAAAGAACTTTGGCGATACATTTAAATAATACTTATTGACTAGATTAATTTAATGCAAATAAAATTATTAATTTAATTAATTAATAATTAACGTTTTTTATGAATTTTTAAATTTGCTATGCTAATTTCGTAGTAAGGAACATTAATTTTTCGACTATATCCTAAATGAATTGACGATTGATTATTTAAATTAACAACGTTGTTAACAGAAACACTATTTTTCGTTGCACAGAAGCTTTTTTCTTCTAACTTTCCTTGAACTTTTTGAAAAATCTTTCCATTATTTCCAACGTATTGAATATTTCTTTCATCGAAGTGGTCGCCCAACTCAATGTAACCATTATTTCCAACGTAATTTATCCTACCACAACCACTTTGAACCGAAACTTTACATCCATCACCAACAATTTTAATACAACCATCGTTACGAAACACATTAATCGTACACAAATTTCCAATCACTTTTATTACGGAAACATTCTCCGAAATTGTAACTGACTGTGAATTACCAACAAATTTATTTGAGGATGATTTTTTTTCGTACGAAGATACTCGATCTGTTGGCACAACCATAATTTTAATTTAAATTTGAAACCTCAACTTTTGCGAAATCAAACGGTTTTATAATAACTTAAATGTTGCAGCTGTTGTCAAGCTTAAATACCAATTGCCCCCACTTTTCCTCAAAACAGCACGCTTTTAACGTGGTTATTCACCGTACTCTCTCTCTTACTAAAAATTAAAGTACACAGAGATACCTACACTGGGGAACTACCTTTATATCAACGAATAGCGTTTTAAAGCGGAGGTTTTAGGGGTCACAGATTATTGCTAAATAACAACTGATTTGACACTGAACTACAAACCTTCACTTCAATCATTAATTAAGTTCATCAAGGATTTTTGTTTTATTTTATTTTACAGAATCGTTTTTGTTGGATCATCGTATTTTTTTGTGGGGATTCACATTTCTTTTGTAAAACTATATTGATACAGGATGTCTCCGATCTACGACATTTCTCTTTCATTTTGTGGAATTTTTTTAAACGCAGATAAATGAATAAGAAAAAAAAGTACCCGACTTATCAGTTTTTATGAATAAACGTATTGCTAAGTGAAATCTTTATTGACCTATCACACTGTTCGATATTATCAATTGAACCCACTCGTAAGGAAGTCCTTTCCTTATCAAAAACATTAATCATGTTCAATTATTCTTGTTCGATATCTCAAGTGTTTTTTTCAATGATGAATAAGACATATAATTAATATAATAATACAGTAACTAAAGACTTTTCAATTTAAATAATCAATTTTGGCGCCATTCAAAATTGCAACTTAAAAAAATTAATTTTATTAATCCAATTAATTTTCACAATATACCGGAAATTTCATATAACTCCCAAGATCTAAGAATCATTTGGGTTTAGCCGTCATAAGGCTGAACTGGGCTGATCATAATGTTTCTAGTTCTAAGTCTAGTGTTAGTTTTAGTACTACTGCTAGTCTAGTTTTATTTGTTAATCAGCACTAGATTATTGCATATTTTTATTGAGCTATAACGGACATTGCTTTCCCCGTATTAATCCGTTATATCCAAGTTTTGGTCACTTCAAAAAATTCTTTTTAATATTAACAAATTCATTCAGCTTTATATTATGTAAATACTAAATAATTTTTCTACGTCATTGGGGATTTACGATATAAACACAAATTTAATTAAAACATTTTTGAAACGGGACATTTTTACCATATCATTCAAAGAATGTAAACGTCGTTTAAATGTAACTGCGCCACAACATATTTTTTTATTTTAAACATTCTTAAACAATACAAAATGTTCAAAGCAATTTAAAAAATGCTTCAATTTTTTAAAATAACCGCCTTACAAAATGACAACATAAAGTAACTAATTTCCCCAGATTATGATTAATTTTTTTTAACTTATAAACATTAATTTTAATAAATAATTTTATTAACACATCCAAAACATCTTATTTATCATAATTATATTAATATTTTAATTTTTATTTAACTTATAAAACGATTTTTAATGTCTTAACCTAAAAGATAATTTTGAGGTTAAAATTTGATTACACAAAATGATAAAAATAATTAAATATACATTACAGAAGACGAAATTAACTAGGAATTATTCAAAAAAGCTTCCGAATCCTTTAAGAAGTACAAAACCTCGCTCGATTAGACCATCTGTACTGTATATTATTTGTTTATTAAATTTTATTAAAACCAACTCTTATTAGTAGGTTCAAAACTTTATTGATTCAAAATCCGTTCGAGTAATTGGTGGTAAAGGGGGTGATGGTTGTATATCTTTCCTTCATTTATGGGCAAATGAACGTGCAGGACCCGATGGTGGAGATGGAGGAAACGGAGCTCATGTCATTTTTAGAGCATCGAGTAATGTAAAGGATTTAAACCATGTTTTATCGGTGATTAAAGGTGAAGATGGTGGGAAAGGAATGAATAAGGATTGTTGTGGTAAAAACGCCCAACACGCAATTGTTGATGTTCCTATTGGAACGGTTTTTCACGACGAAAACGGAAAAATTATAGCAGATCTAAATGAAAATGGAGTTTTATTTGTTGGTGCTCGAGGTGGATCCGGTGGTAAAGGAAATCATTATTTTATAACAGATATTGAACAAGCCCCAAAAATTAGTGAATATGGTGCTTTAGGAGAAGATTTACGGTATAACCTCGAAATTAGGAGCATTGCTCAAATAGGATTTGTATGTTTATAATTTAATTTAAACTGAAATATATTAAAAAAATGTCTTTTTATTAGATTGGCTTTCCAAATGCAGGGAAAAGTACGTTATTACAAGCAATTACAAGAGCTCGACCAAAAATAGCACCTTATCCTTTTACAACGTTAAAACCTCACATAGGAATGGTTCAATTCGATGATTATGAACAAATTGCAGTCGCCGATTTACCGGGAATTATTCCCGGTTCTCATAAAAATAAAGGATTAGGATTTCGTTTTTTGAAACACATAGAACGTTGCGTTGCTTTTGTGTACGTATTGGATGTGTCTGATGAGAATGTTTTAGAGAAATTTCAAGTCTTACACTTTGAATTAACACAATTTAATAAGGAGTTTGTGGAAAGACCACAGTTTATTGCTGCTAACAAAATCGATTTGGCAGGTGTAAAGAGGAATGTTGAAATTTTAAAAGAAAATTGCGGTTTGGAGGTAATTCCGGTTAGTGGGAAGTTAGGTTATAATTTGTTAGAATTGTTAAGAAAGTTTAGAGATGTATATGATGTATCGAAATTTAAGGTTAGAAATAAAGGTTAATAAAAGTTAGGTTGTTATTTGTTTGTGTAATAAATTAATTAATGAAAAATGGGAATATTAAATAAATTAATAAAAATAGTAATATGTAACCAATGAAAGGTTATATAATGAAAGTTTTGTACTTACTTTCTCAAAAACCACCACAGAAATATTTAACTTTGACGTTTGATTTGAACATGACATTGACGTTTGAACATGATAACCAAAAAACTTTTATATTACCAATCTTGTTCGACAAAATCCCTAAAATTCCCTAAAATGGTTTAAGTATATGATTTGTTAATGGAAATACTTCCAATGAATTATTAATCATTCATTATCTTCTAAAAAGACATACGGTCATTTCTTGTTCAGGATAGGTAACATTGAATCTTTATGGATTTTAGCCTATACGGATGAAGAGATCAAACGAAAACAGAGTAAAGATAAAGTGTGAAAGAATACTAAGGCCCACTTTTACCACCTCCTGATAAATTTATCCGATAGATAAATCCAATTCTTAGGTCCATTACTACCATCTTTTAGTTAAATTTATCTTATAGATAAACCCATCTACTAGCCAATCAGAGCGCGTAAAATAGCCGTTACCATGGTAATAATCCCTTAGATAGCTTAACCAGAAGATGGTAGTAACGGGCCTTAGCCAATGAGAGCTTCTAGATAGTTTATCAAGAGGATGGTAAAAGTGGGCCTAAAGAGTATAAAGATAATGTTATGTTTTAATTAAAATAAGTTGCCTCCTTGGAGGCATTCAAAAATTGCCGTTAGCGGTCGGTATTTCACGACCACATGGCGGGGTATTGGTTAAAGTTTTCAACTAGCAATAATCGCACCTCAGCTATGCCTCATTGGTTACGATACTGCCACTGCGCAAAGTTAACCCTTGGAACCAACCATTAATGTTATGTACCCCCTTAAACCACCGTCATCTACAAGAACCTAATCGTTAAACAATGAGTTTTTACTACAAAAATAACTCAATTTACACTAACTTATATATTATTGCATATGTTGTATTTATACATAATTTTTAAAGATAACTTTGAATACAAGAAACCAACAATTATTAAGATAGTGATAAATAAGTTTATATAAGGGTTGATCGCGCCATCTTCGAGACAAACGATGAAGTTAAATTTTTATAAGCCTTAAGAGATGAATGATATATTATGTAATGCAAAAACATATATTTTCTACAAAGATATTCTTAAAAAACTTAAACCAAAAATAAACCTTTCAACCAGTTAAAGTGAATATATTATTATTATGAAATAACTTATGTTTATAGAAGATTTAAGGAACAGCTCAAAAACTTAACTGGTTAGGGAGTAAGCGATGGTGATGTTGGAGTTGTACTGAAGCCACCAATAAGTCTGCTCAAAAGAGAACTCTCCAAAAGGCGAGTGTCTAAAATCAGCCCACCAGACAAAGAAAACTACACAGATTGATGCTGGGCAGATTACTGAAAGGTCCTCGCTAATAAAGAGGACATATAAAGAATGACATTGCAATTTGGAACGTGGAATCAAAGGATATTATTGCTGCCAAATAAAATTTTAACTGTGTTGGAAAACACCAGGAAAAACTATGTAACATATCTGATGGACGCGCGACAGACGGAGAGAATGGAGAAAAAAACGGAGAGAAATCTTGAAAGAGGAAAAACCACATGGGTCTAAATCTTTTGGACGTCCCCCGAGCCAATGGTATGAAAGCCGGACAAGCAACATATAAAGCAAGAACTGTTGAAGAAAGACACGGTCGAGCATTTTGGTAACTTATAAACTTGAGTCCAAATATATTATTACAGCTGAGGAGTAATGGAAATCCTTTTTTGGAAATGATTTGATGTATCGTCACAATGACTTCTTTTCCAGAATTTTGGTAAAATGTTGTAGGAAATTATTCGATATGCCATGTAGACTCAAGCGTTTTGACAAACTTTACTCCTACTTGCACTGATTGCGTGATATACAGAAAACGATAGTATCCGTAGTAGGTGTCTTTGCAAAGAAAACTACGCTCTACCCTAACAGGAAGAGATCAACTCAGTTTCTGCGAAAATCAAAAAGTGATTTAAGGCTCCTTACCCATTTCCTGACCGCACACTGCAGGTCTCTGTAGAGGGTGTGAAATAAAAGAAGAGACGGTCATATTGTTTGTGACTGTCCCAACCTCGCGTACTTTTGGCGTACCATAAAGAACATACCCTTCTGTTCTATATTAAAGATCATTAAAACCTTGGGCTGGTTTTCTGACCCCTGAATGAACTGTAAAATGTGGGGATGTACAAAGGGCTCGTCGGGGCCTAAGTGCTGTGAAGGAATTCACCCCCACGTGAAGCTACATACATACAACGCATAACTTACAAATCATCGTAAGATAAATTTATCTATCCCATAGATGAATCCACCTCTTAGGCAAGGAGAGTGCTTAAAACCGTAACCATGGTAACTATCCCTTAGATAGTTCATTAGGAGGATATTGGTAAAAAAAAGCGTTTATTTTGGGCCCCAAAATAAACAGTGTTTACCAAAAGTAACGCATAAATTCTCATTCATTTGAGATAAAAAAAATAGCAGTAGGCGTACGTAACCATGGCAACCACTTGTTTGAAATATCAAAAACTTTTTAATAAAATATCTCAAATAATCGGTTGCCACAGTTACGTACCAAATGAATGGAAATTTATACATTTCTTTTGAGAAACACTGTATAACTAAAAAACCTCAAGTGCTAAACAATATTTGCGGATTAATTGATCGGACAATGTTACCAACAACTTCATCTAATGTAAGTTACTATTTTGTTTTATTTGAAATAAGTTGCCTCCTTAGAGGCTTGCAAAAATTGCCGTTAGCGGTCGGTATTTCACGACCACATGGCGGGGTATTGGTTAAAGTTTTCAACTAGCAATAATCGCACCTCAGCTACGCTTCATCGGTTACGATACTGCCACTGCGCAAAGCTAACCATATACTGCAACCCCTTAACATTATATACCCGAATACCAAAACACATTCAACAAGAACGAATCAACGTTAATTGCTAATTTAACCCAATAAAATCATCGTAATCCACCAAACCATACAAATACAAGAAACATAATAACAATTAATTTGTTAAGAACAACAAAATAAACGCGAAAATACTACCGATAATGAGAAAATTGAGAATTTGTTGATTTTTTGGTTTTAGCGCCATCTATGAAATAATATTACAATTAAAGAAATACTGTTTAGATTTAAAATCATAGATGGCAGTTTAGTCACGAAAATGCTTAATTAAATTGAGTGGGTTTCTTTAAAAATTAACGTATAATCAAGTTTTTTTAATGATAATAGAATTTATTTGTTTGAAATAATTAAATCAGTTCAAAAATTTTCCTTAAAAATAATTTTCTTGTTGAATTAATTGAGTCATTCTCGTTTAAACATCGTTCGGGTTTGTTTTCGCAGATAACCTTAAATTTATCTTGGAGACAGATAGAAACCGTTAAATCGAGTGGTGGGGAAAAATACATATTCTGTTCTTTATTTATTTCTTTTTTTGACTTAATTTTTTTAATTCATTTAAAAATGAAATAAAAAAATTAATACAAAATGGTTTTCTTGAACAATAAATGAGGTGAGCGTCGTCGCCGTCGTCGAAACGGTTTTACATAACCTCACTTTCACGTTACGCAACAAACTCCTCTGTGTTCATATTTCGATCTCTATCACTTCTCTTTATATCTTTATTTATTTATTTTTTGGTTTAAAGTGGTAAAAAAAATAAAATCATTCTTTGTTAGTTTTAAGAAACATTAATGATTTTTTTATATTGAGTAAAATAAAGCCGATTGTATGCAAAAATCCCAAGTTTCGCAACTAAGAACCAAGAACGTAGCAGAACGTAGCGGCAACGTACAGGTTGCTTATTATAATCGTTGGAGTTCAAATCGTGACTACGACCTCGCCTACATAAGTAGGTTTACACGTATTACTGTTATTTCTCTTCTGTTAGAAATCTCTTGGATCCTGTCTTTGTTTTACTCCGCATTCCAAAAATATTTTTTTATTTATATATAAAAATTGTTACAATTTACTTTGAAAATTAAAAAAAACTAATATGTTTTGATTTTTGACAAGTAGCGCTATCTATATACCGAGAATTTCATATAACTCGCAATATATTAATGCAGTAACCATAGTTACGAAACTACTATGCACTTGCACTGTTCCACATAAAATGCAACATAGCTTAATAGTACAGGGCTTGGGTAGTTTTGCTTGGAAAAGGTGACGTCCTTATGATAATTCTGAGTTTTCGGTCGTCTTAAGAGACATACGGCAAAAAACCAAATGTTTCTAGGTCTAATGTTAGTTGTAGTGACAGCTGCATAACAATTAAAACTAGAACTAACACTATACCTAGAACTAGAATCATTCGGGTTTAGCCGTCTTTAGACACGTGCAGCTAAACCCAAATGATGTAGAACTAACACTATACCTAGAACTAGAATCATTCGGGTTTAGCCGTCTTTAGAGACGTGCAGCTAAACCCAAATGACTCTAGATCTAGGTATAGTGTTAGTTTTACATAGTAATAGTGCTAGTGTAAAACTAGAACTAACGCTAGATCTAGTGATATAAAAGAATTGTAACAATTTGGTTTGAAAACAAAAAAAAATAATATATTTTATTTTTGACAACTAGCGCTATCTATATATTAAAATCGGCGATAAAATGCGGGTTATGAAAGATCAATAAGTGTTGATTTCTATGCCAACCGTTGGATTTAGTTGCGATTTAAGCAAAATACGAGTTAAAAAAATAAATTAAAAGCGCATGCGTCTTACGTCATTTGTGAAAACGTCATAATCGTCGTCTTTTACGTTTTTTTAGTGATACTACTACGTCCTCGTCGCGTCGAGTAATGCCCTTTGGAATAGAATTAAAAGGAAATTGCGTGGGTGCTCCAAATATAGAAAAATAAATAACCTTTTTTCTCCGCCCACTAATATAACTAAAATGACGAAAATTGAAATTATTAATAATAATGTTAAGTAGAATTGAAATAAAGTCGAGTTACCGTTTTCTTCTGTTGTTAAAAACGTTGTGTTAAACAAGGACGTTTACTTTTTCAAGGTTAAATCACATACCATCGTGTGTTATTTTATTTAATACATGAAATAAATATCCCCGAGATTCTTTTTAGGGGAATTTTTTTTAAATTTTTTGACGTTTGTAGAAATTTTTTTTTCTTTGGTGATTACAAGAAATTAAGTGTGATATTTTTAGAGTTGGCGCCGTCGCCGTCGTATTGTGATTCCCCACGCTTCTTCCTTCTTCGTTTCTATTCTTTTCTCTTCTTCTAGAATAGTGCGCCGCGGTACTTTAAAATGTTGAGGTTAAGATTGACTCCAACAGAAGAAAGTTTCTAAAATAAGCGACAAGAAGTGACCGTGGTCTACTTTCACCGATCGAAGCGCCATCTACATTAAATATTTTTAAAATAAATAAAATATATAAAAGTTTCGCCGGGAAATTTAAATTATATCAAAATATTTACAATTTATTTTTACTTAATTTGAATTTGACGTTTGATTTTGTGCAGGGTGTACCAACTGTCATATTAAAAAGCAGATGCTTCCCCAAGGAAGGAATAACCAATTTTAAGCCCATTCTCGGCAAAGTGGCAACTACATTCAAACAGTTCCTAAAGCTATTCAAGTAAGGCTAAATCCTTATGTATAAGCTATAGTTAATGGAAATGCCCAAAATACACAGGGTGGACCCTCTAACTTTTATAATTTGAACTACCGGTTATTTTAATTTTTAAGATAGAATGACATTCAGGAATTGACAGAAAATTAGTTGTATGTTTGACATTTGCAAGGAGTTTGTACATGCTTTTGCTTTTCTACATGTTTATTTATCAACTTAAGACGCTTATTGAATAGATTTTCTTTCCGCTTTGATAGAAAAATCCACTAAAAGGTTTGCAAATCTAATAAGTGGCCAAAATAACTTTTTAAATGTAATTATTTGAATTTACAAGGGAAGGGAAATCCTTTTATCTTTATTAGTATGCACCAAATTTAGTTATAAAGTACTTCCATAAAAAGGTTTTTGCATGAAGAGTCACAGAAAAATAGAAATCAACAGAATGGCATTATACACATAAATAGGTAAGGCTGGCGAAGAACATGTTTTAGGAACGTTCGGAAAATAAAGTGATAAATTAAATAGTTTTTATAAAACATAACCTAAACGAAATTATTTTTACTTTCTTAATGTCATCGATTTTTACAATTCAAATGTTTCTTCAATCCAAATTTATCTGCAAAGAATTTAATTATTTTATATTATTTTAGGTTGAAATGTTTATTTGTCATATTTAACGATAAAGATTAAAATTTTTATTAATTCATATTAAAAATTAATTCTTTAAACATTTAAGTTTGAACGGTAAACTTTTAAGTATTTATGATTGTATCCAATTTGACGTTTTAATGTCAATTTTGACATTTTAACAATGAAAAATTTGAAATGAGCGGTAGTGATGATTTTTAAGACTGCAGATAAAAAATTCAAAGGATTAAAGAGTTTGGATGGTTAGCGAAGAAGAAGAAGTGGTGGTCGCTGTCTGGACACACGACAGGTGTATGTTACACCTGCACGAGCCACCGGCGAACAGGTGAACGCATCTTTGCACGTTCTCCTTAACACACACACGTCTGTCCGCATCTGGACTTCACTTTGGACATTCTGAAGACTGCACGTCGACTTACTTATTGAAGGAAATCAGGAAGAAAGGGATCAGAAATCGTTGAAAAAGACTATTTTATTAGATTTAAAAAGGAAATTTTGAAAATCAAGTAAACAAGCTCTAGAAGTAGTAAATAAAAATATTTTTTAGGTTAGAGAAGAATTATATTTTATGTTGTGATCCAAAGAGATCGAGAGAGGTTTGTTACAATTGTCGCAATCCAAATTGAACGATGTGGTTGTATCAGCAATAGAAAGTGGCGTTCGCGGCAGCGAAAATATGGCCATTATTGAATTATTTAAGCTGGGGAACGGGTTCACTTTCACATTTTCGAACGTCTAACAAACACCAGTATGTATAAAGGGGTTCTCTATCGCGCAAATTATGTTCTATTTAAACATATTTTATTACATTTTTGAATAAGATTTGAACGAAATCCTATTTATTAACTAATAATGTATAAAAAAAGATTAAAAAAATATCATTTTGTTTTAATATTTTAGAATTTATTTTGGGAAACACCATTTAAAAGATGACGTTAACGATGGTGATGATGATGATGATAATGGAATGTCTTCATCTCGTCGAAGGATCAAGTCGACGTGATTGAGCGATTTGGAATTTACAAGCCACTTTTCTCGGTCCAAACAAGGCGGCGAACGAACCAAACCAAACGAACGAACAGAGAAAGTGCAACAACAACGTATACTAACTCCGGTCACGTGACCCCAGTTTCTGTGCCACTAGATGTTTTAATAGAGAATTTCTATTCCGCTACACTGCGCACGTTGACTATCTACTCGCTTATATTACAATTCGCAATCACATATAATAACTTAACATACAAGAAATCCTCCAGATTACACTTCTGTTAGGTTATAATTATGTCAATATCATCATTACCAACTTAAATTTAATTAAAAATAGAAACAATATGATTATTAACATAAAAATTTAAATTTAAAACATTAAAAAATTAAAAATTTACAAGAATTTTAAATATTTTAACATTAACAATGAAGTACCTGCCCCTCGAGTATAGAACGAAGACCAGAAGGAGGATCGGAAACAGAAAAGAGACGACAACCGCAACAAGAAAAATAAAATGAATAAGAAGACGACAAAGAAGAAGTTGAAAACGATGAAGCAGAAGAAGATGAAATCGATGAAGAACTTAAGGTAGTAGGTGGGGGAGGAGGAGGAGACGACGAAGAGTT